TGAACAACTGCAGTGATTCACTTAACAAATGTCTTGCTTAGCAACAGAAATTTGGGGCTCAATTGTGGTCGTAAGTTGAGGACCTGTAATGAGAATGGAAATGGAAAGATTTCTGTTCCACCCCAAAAGCCATCTGAACTCCCCAAGCTCCCTTTTTGGGAAAGGATCAGATCTATAAGATTTGGGATGATTTAAGGATAGAAATGGGAATGGAAATGGGAGGATACCATCCTGAAACAAACCATTTCCATCCCCACCTTCTATACACTGAAAAATTCATTTATTTGTTCACAGACTAGCAAATTTCAACCTCATTCTAGGTGACAGAATGAGACTAGAAGGCTTCCTACTGTCTCCTAGAAAACCTGGAAACTGAGTTAAGATCCTTGGTCCTTTCAATATTGCCGATTCTTATCTCATCATGAGGTAGGATATTTGTCACTAAGTTTCACATGCCTCCAGGGGTGGGCTACAAATATTTTAGCAAGAGGTTCTCTGCCCAGTTGCTGGGTGGGCATGGTCATGATGGGTGTGGTCTAGTTGGCCTCCTGCACCATGGCGGGGGGAGCATTTTTGCCCTCCCCGGGCTCCGGAGGCTTTCCTCGAGCCTCCAGGAGGGCAAAAACGGTCTCCCCAGGCTCCGGAGGCTGGAAACTGGCCTTCCCAAACTTCCTGTAGGCCCATTTTTCACCCTCCCGAGCCTCCATGCGCACCCTGCACCAACCTGCATCCAAAACAGGCCGTGTGGGGACTCCTGGGAGGGGAGGGGTGGAGCAGGGTGGGCGGGGCCAGCCAGGAGTGGGATTTGGGGGTTCTCCGAACTGCACAGAATCTTAGCTAGAGGTTCTCCTGAACCCCTGCAAACCCCCAGCAGCCCATCCCTGCATGCCTCTATATCAAGACTTTTGCCCATGTGTTCATTTACATATCTAAAATTAGCAAATATTTGCTCCATTATGTATAAGTTTCCCTGGTTGTCAGTGATGTTAGGGGTTAACTTTGCTTTGTTTCTTTTACAGAGTGTATTTTTATTGGTCGATGACCAAAATAAGATTTCCGCCTGTCTACCTACCGGTGTAATGAACCATTTTTAAGTCAGGGTAGATTCTATCCTGTCTTGATTTCTCCTTCACCCAACAGACATTTTGGATCAATCGATTTGTGTTATCGGTCATTCGTCTGCTTAATTCGCAACCCAACCAGCCACCGTTTTATATAAAGTTCTCTTAGTTTTGATTGAAACAAATAAGAAATAAATGAGGCAGAAGGGTAAGTGGCCTTTGCAGGGATTTTTTTTAAAAAAAAACCTCGGTAAGAGCAGCCACTTTCCTGCAGCCTGCTTAGCTCAGAGAAACAGAGGATTGCAAGGCGAGACTTCAGCTGCCATTGGTTTTGCCTCCACATTCATCTGCCAGCAGTCCTAATTTACCTGAGCAAAGCTGGTTCAATGGAGGAATAAGCGTACGTCCACCCATGCATGACCAAAGACACAAATCAATGTGGATACAAAGAGCATGACCGTGTTAATATTTTTGTAATTATTGAAAGATTAAATGGAAGCTGAGCTCTTTTTGAATTATGTTTCTTGGTATGAATTTATTTAGAAATGGGACTTCTGCTCCAAGTCTTTGGTGTGCGTATGTGCATGCATGAGAAAGGGGAGTTTTTAAGAGCGTAGGCAATGGAAATATGTTTTGGATTCAAACTAAATCTTTTATGCTGTTCAATTAGACGAAGAACATGAACATTTGTATTTTTTTTAATGTACATTTATTCCAAATGTTCAGCTCTCATTCAATGACATTTTTTATATTTTTACACATTTACACTGAGCGCTCTTGAATGTGTGATTAACAATACTGGCAATTAGCAACTTAGTCTGAAAGGTAATTTTCTGAAAAAAATCAAGACAAGGCTGAATTGTAAATCAAGACACTTCACAGGGGCTATTTTGCTGGTATGTTTTGAGTTTAAAATTTAGAGACACTGAATCATACTCTTTATAAATAAATACAGCTTTAGAGATTTGGGCTTTTAATAACTAATATGTGCAGTAGGAAAACACGAATACCTTTAAAAACCAATGCAATAATGACAGGTAATTTAAAAAATTTCCAATAAAGAGAATATTTCCTGTGAAAGAGAACTATGTTGAAATGCATAGTTTTAAGATCCACATCCAAAATCCAGACAAATTATTGAGAATAGTACACTGCAGAAAAAAGGATTTAATATGATGTCAGAATATCAGCCCATGTAATTTAGCACTGCATTTCTAAGTAGAAGATTTGCAACATTTTATACAGAAACTTTTTGCTTCCTGCTGCTGCCAAAGATGTTAATGGACATCAAGTAAAAAAAAATATATATATGGCCAGTACTGTAAAAAAAGCATTAGCAAATTTAAGGCTCGGGATATAATTTTAACCCGCAGGAGCAGTTTCCAAATTATGGGAAGCAAAGCACCATTCTATTTTGCTTTGGTCATACACCATCCTAAGCATTGTGTGCTATTCTGAATACCCCTCTTTAAGCGAGAGAGAGCTCTTAGGAATATTTGAATCCCTGCACTGGACAAGGGATTCAATTTAATGGCTTAAATGACTTTCATCCCAAAATTATATCAGTGAGCCTTGGATTTATGTATAAAAAAACTGTTTTATTGCAAACCAGTAAGTCCCCTGACAATCTGATTATAATCTGAGAACAGAAATAAAACCAGTATGAAAATGCATTCATCATTTCGTCTAATGCACCAAATTCACAGTTATAGGTGTATATGGCTCATGAGCAATAACTGTAGAAGGGATCTAGGAGTCCTAGTGGATAACCACTTAAATATGAGCCAGCTGTGTACTGCAGCTGCCAAAAAAGCCAATGCGGTCCTAAATTGCATCAACAGAGGGATAGTATCAAGGTCATATAGCAATAGCACTCAGACTTATATACCGCTTCATAGTGCTTTACAGCCCTCTCTAAGCAGTTTACAGAGTCAGCATATTGCCTCCAACAATCTGGGCCCTCATTTTACCCACCTCGGAAGGTTGGAAGGCTGAGTCAACCTTGAGCCTGGTGAGATTCGATCTGCTAAACTGCTGGCAGCTGGTCATCAGCAGAAGTAGCCTGCAGTACTCCACTCTAACCACTGTGTCACCGCAGCTCATCCAGGAGTGAAATGCTCCCAGTTTGGACCGGATCGCCCAATCCGGTAGTGACGGAGGCGGGTGGTTCGGAGAACCGGTAACAAAAATCCCTGCCCCCCCCCATGCCCAGCTGAGCCGCGCAATCATCAGAGGCTTTTTTTTATTATTTTTAAAAGCATTTTTTCTACAACCTCTTCGGCTGAAAAAATGCTTTTAAAAGTAAAAAAAAAAAAGCCTCTGATGATCACACGGCTCAGCTGGGATCATCAAAGGCTTTTAAAAGCATTTTTTCTACAACCTCTTCAGTTGCCTGATCGGCAGAGGCTTTTTTTCTTTTAAATGCCTCTGACGATCCAAGCTGAGTTGCCTGATCGGCAGAGGCTTTTTTTCTTTTAAATGCCTCTGACGATCCAAGTTTAGTTGTCTGATTGGCAGAGGCTTTTAAAAGAAAAAAAACCTCTGCCGATCAGGCAACTCAGCTGGGATCGTCAGAGCCTTTTGAAAGCATTTTTTAGAAAAAATGGTTTTAAAAGTAAAAAAAAAAGTTGGCCATGCCCACCCAGTCACATTACCTTCCCCCCACCAAGCCACGTCCACAGAACCGGTAGTAACAAATTTTAGATTTCACCACTGGGCTCATCATAATATAAATATTAGTATCACTTTAAACTGCCTTGGTAAGACTGCATTTGGAATACTGTGTCCAGTTTTGATCACTATGATACAAAAAATGTTGAGACTCTGGAAAGAGTATAGTGCAAAAAAGGAGATTAGGGGGTTGGAGGCTAAAACATACATTGAATGATTACAGAAATTGGCTATGTCTAGTCTAACAAAGATAAGGACTAGTGTGACACGATAGTAGCCTTCCAATATTTGAAGAGCTGTCACAGAGAAGAGAGGTCAACCTATTCTCTAAAACGCCTAAGGTAAGAACAAGAAGTAACAGATGGAAACTTGTCAAGGAGAGATCCAATCTAGAACTAGAGAGAAATTTCCTGCCCTTTGAATCTTTTTTGGAGACTGGGCATGGGACCCAGGACCAGACACTCGATATACTTTAAGACTTGAAAGCAACTCAAGATTCTTTTCCTGGTTGAACTTCCACACAACATTGGCATGTCTAGGGCTCCACTGCAATCCAGGGGAGAAGATCATTTCCTAGACTCAGAACATACTTTTCACATACACATGCAATTTCAGTTCTGAAAAAGAAATAGTCCAAGAAGTAGAAGTTATAAAACTCAAGACAACCATCTGCTGTTATAGCTAGGTTATACAGTAGTTTGTTTTCATTACTTCTTGTCATTACCTGGAAATGCATAACTCAAAAGCAGCTGTGTTTCTTTCCTTTCTCACATCCACATTTATTAGATATGCTAACCTTGGCAACTCTGTAAGTTATACAGACAAGCTTGCATAAAGTCTGTTTCCCTTAATATTATAGGACACCATCATTAGACTTTCTTTGTCATGATACGCAACCAGAGATAACTTATTCTGGAAATAATTAATATGGCCTTGTACTTTTCTTCTACCACTCATTTCCATTATGTAGTAGGGTAGTACATTTGAGTATATATGAATTACAGTAGGAACAATGAGGGGATTATTGGGGAAATTGAAGTTCATCACATAATACCTTATCAGGTAAGAATACCTTCTTTCGTGAAGAAGTAGACATGCAACCCTTACCCTGTATATCTTCTGCAATTACACAGGCCATTCAACAGAGAAAACTGATACATTCCCTGATTCATGCTTAGGAGTCAATGGAAATATACCAATTTTTTCATTACAGAGAAAGAAGAACGAGCCACTCATACAAGTTAAGCCATAGAACAGTTAAATCAAATCTGAAAGATATGGGAAAATATTTACAAATGTATACACAGCAAGAAAAACAATTTTAAAAGGTTTTTCCCCCCAAGTGCTCTCCCTCTCGCCCCATACATTTCCACACCAATTAGCTATTGGTAAAATAACAATTGAAGGCTTTCAATTTCTTTTTCGGTAAATCCAGCTTCTCTCATCTTGGAGTGCAACTCTGTCGTGTTGGCATTTCCTGTCTAGAACAAAAGCTTTCCCAGCAAGCAGGGTCTTCTGGTGTAAGAGGAATAGCAGAGGCAACTAAATCATTGAATGTCAGTAATGTAAATGCAGGCTTATTGCTGGGGATCATCTAAAAGAAGGGAAAAATAGATTAAGATTTTTCTGGTTGAGAAGCAAGGCTGGGATTATTTCTCTTAAAAATATAAGGTTGTTTTTTTGGGGGGGGGTCTGCATACTTGAAATAAAAGACAAAGAAAATAGTTTTCAGGTCAACCAGTATGTTCAATTTTGATACAGAACCTAAAAAATCAGAGATGTACATGCTCATCTCATTAGAAATAGTGATCATAGTGCTACCAAGTTTAATTTATAAGTAGACTGGAAATTGCTCAACAATTCCAAAGCAGTCACATCTGACTTCAATGCTGTAAAAAAAAAAACTGTTAAAAAAAGAAGTTAAATGGAAAATCAAAAAGTCAAATGTCTCTACATTACTTGGGGATTAGTCATCAACACACTGATAGTAATTGAGTTAGAATGTGCATCATAGATCAAGAAAGGTACTATCCAAGTCCAAGAATTTATTATGATTAATGAGCACTGTCAAGAAAACGATTATAAAAATAGTACTCTTTTAAAGAAATGAAAATATTCTCCAAATGAGAAAAATGGATCACAAGCATTCAGAAAATAAATGCCAAGAAGCAAATAAATAGGGCTGGGAACTTTTTTTCCCCTCTTAAATCAGGGGCTGTAATTTATTTTCTGCGGTGCTTAGAAGCTTGTAGATGATGTTATCTGAAACTGGCAATTACAGCAAGGTGATGATGTTCCATCAAGATGGTATTGATTCTTAATGACCACATGGATTTCTTCCAGGTGGATCTGTTCCCCCAGCTGGTCCTTCAGGTTTTCCAATAACTGCTATAATTGAGTCAATACACTCTGCTGCTGGTCATCCTCTTCTTTTTCTTTTCACTTTTTTCAACTGTATGAACTTCCACCGAGAACTAGATTTCCCCCTTAACGTGTCTGAAGTGGGATCATTTGAACCTGGTAATGTGTACCCTGAGTGAAAATTCTGAGTCGATGCGTTCAACGATCCATTTGTTCGCTTGGCTATCCATGATATTTTTAGTCTTTTCAGTTCCCAAGGTTCAAAAGTGTCAATACTCTTTCTATCCTGGTTCTTCGAAATCCAACTTTTGCTTCTGTAAAGTGCCACAGGGAATACCATGGTTTGCAGAGTTCTTATTTTTGATCAGCCATCTTCGTGGCTGCTCTCCTGCATAGTGTCCTGTGGCATATATATTACTTTTTTACTGTTGGTTGATGACCCTAAAAGATAGCAGCTACCTACTTCTTCAATACCTTCATTGCTAGTTCTAAAGCTGGTTATCTCTGTTATTATTGGTGTGGTCTTCTTCATTTTAGTCCCAGTTGCTCATGGTGTGCCTTGAGCTTGCGCATGCTTTGCATTTTTGGGCTATCAGAGTAGTATCATCATCAGAGCATATTATTGATATTTCTTCTTCCGGCTTTTAAATAACATCAATCTTCTTCCAGTTCAGTTCCCTCAATGTATATGCTGCATATAATTTGAATAAATAATAGCTGGGGGGAGAGTATGCAATCCTGTCACACTCCTTTGCTAACCTAGATACCGTCTTCTCAATTAGTCCACCATGTGAGGTGACTTCCTGCCTGAAATATAGGTTTTGCATAAGAGTAAAGAAATGTTCTGAGTTTCTCATTTTCTAAATGCATTGCCCATAATTTACACAATCAAAGTCTTTTCTATAGTCAACAAAGCACATACTGTTTTTGTTATTTCTGGCTTTCTCAATTATCCAGAGAAAATGCCTTGTGTTCTTTGGCCTTTTCTAAAGGGTTATTTTGATAGTATGTAAAATTAAGGATATTGTATAATAGTTTGCATACTCTGTTACCTTTTCTTTAATATTGGATGTAGACTGACCTCTTCTAATCAACTGGCCACTGTGTCATTATCCAAGTTTGCGGTTAAAACATTTACTGATTTATCTTCTATTTCTCGCCATAGTTTTGTATCATTTTTTGTAGATATTGTAGATAGATATTGTATCATTTTTTTGTAGCTTCCAACTTGGTAATGACTAGAGGACTTACCTAACTTAACCATCTAGTTTTTGTAATTAGGGAGTATCTTCTATGGTATTGTGGATGTTGATTCTGTATATTTACTCTGTGGAATTTCAACACATTCCTTTCATTTTTTCTTTGAGTTATTATCTATCAATGGGCATCCTTCAGCTTACCAGTTTGAGATCAGAACTTCCTTCCTAGCTTTAAGACCTTTTAGAAAACTGTCCCTGTTTTTCTCTGTTTGAGAAAATCTGCAAAGACTTTGATGTCTTTGCAGATTTGTTGTAATATTGCTTCTTTGCAGCTCTCTGAAATAATTTTGTCAAGTTTGTTCCTGAGATCTTTGGCCTTTTTGGCTTCTCTTCTTGGCAATTTCCACCATCTATTTTGTCATGAGATTCCCTTTTGTTTCTTGGTCTTTGGTAGTTTCTTTGTATATTCATCTTTAATAATTTCTTTGATTTCCCTCCATAATTCCTCTGGTTCCCTGTCAGGCTCCCAAAACCAACAAAAACACATTGAGACTCTTCTGAGGCAGTTTCTTTTATTGCACCTCCCATACAGACATAAATCTTGCCATTAAAATAGATTAATTTGCACCATTAAACCTACACTCTGGAAAATACGAAGGAGTACTATCTTAAGACTCTCCTACACAAAATAGTTAAACTGGGCTGTCTTTTGCTCCTCTGGCATGCACTCCCTCCTTTCTGGGAATCTGGACAAAATTCTTTCATAGTATCAGAGCAATACAGGACTTAACAGCATATTTATTTATTTATTTTATATTTTATATAGCCATCCAGAGTGGTGCAGTGGCCTAGAGGTGGAGCTCTCGTCTCACAATCAGGAGTCTGTGAGTTCGATCCTAGGTAGAGGCAGATATTTCTCTCTCTGGGAACAATGAGAATATATCTGCTGAAACAATCTCCGCATTGGTGACAGGAAAGGCATCCAGCCAGTAAACACTCAGCCCCATTCAGTTGCCCAAGACTCCACCTCGCAAGGGATTACGGGATCTTTAAAAGATGATGATGATTTACCGTATTTTTTGGAGTATAAAATGCACCTTTCCCCCCCTAAAAGTGGGTGAAAATTTAGGTGTGTCTTATACATCAAATGTAGCCCTGCCCACCCACTGTCCCCCACCCTTTGGCCTCTGCCTCCCAGAAGTTTACCTCCTTGCAGCAAGCAGCAAGAAGAAACAGCTCATTTCAGCTTCAGCACAGCCTAATTAGCACAAATTGATTGTCCATTGGCCTCCCGACTCAGCTGTTTTGCGCGGGCCTCTGCTGCTTGCTGCAAGGAGGTAAATTGCTGGGAGCAGATTTTTTTTTTCTTGTGCTAATCAAGCTATGCTGAAAACGAAAATGAAAGTAAAGCAGGCTATTTGCTGTTTGCTGCAACGAGGCAAAATTGCTGGGAAGCAGAGGCAGATTTCTTTTTCTTGTTTTCCTCACCAAAAAAGGTAGGTGCATCTTATGGTCCGGAGCGTCTTATACTCCGAAAAATACGGTATATAGCCATCCATCTTAAGCTACTCTGGGTAGTTCACAACAACCAAATCTTGATGTACTCCTTGAAAGTGTTGTGTACATGCACAGGATCATATTTTGGAAACTGGTTGGCTTTCTTTTTCTCCTTAGCTTAACTTGGAACTTGCACGTAAGTAGACCATGATCTGTTCCACAGTTCTCTTCTGTGAGTTCTTCCACCTCTTTCTACCAATAATGTATTCGTTCTGATTTCTGCATAACTCCATCTGGTAATGTTCACGTGTATAATGTCACTATGGTTGTTTAAAGCAAAGGCATAGCAGCAGAAGGAATAAGATAATAATTCAGCCTTTCTTCCCCATTTTATTTTCTTCTTTTTGTACAGGAAAAGAATGGTAGTGGGAGCCCTTGATAAATTCCCATTTCCCTCAAAGCCTCCAAATCAGCTGAAAGTTGTGCCACCAAATTGGCAGATCTTCCATCTGGTTTGGGGAGTTTGGGGGTTTTAAGGAATGTAATGGAATTGGTTTTCCTCAAAGAAGCTGCTTCCATTTCCACTTTCATGTGAAAAACAAGAAAAAAAAACCTGCAGTGCTGAAAGTAATTTGTTTCTGAGCTTCAACTGAAGAAACTCCATGTACTGGAGGGAGTTGCAAATACGGAGCTATAGGAAGCAGAAGGCCTCTAGTTGTCTGTCTCCATATTAAAAATGCAAGTTTTTAAAATAACAAGAACATACATTCGTACACACACACACACACACACACACACGTACTCATCTATTCCCTTTCAAGATAAGTAATGTTACTCAGGGCACAGAAAAGATGTAAAAAAAACCCTAAGAAATTCATGAGATTAATAATAGAAAAGGAAACATAGCCAGAACTAATTTATTCTTCTTTTTAAAAATCCAACATATGAAATTGCTGACAAAATACTTAATTTGTATGTAAAATCTAAAGGTTGGATTCTCTCCAGAGTCACTTTTTGCGAAATAGGCAGCCAAATATAAATTTGATAAACAGATAGAGAAATAAATAAATAAAATTCAGCTCTGTATCAGTTGATAAAAGCTGCCAATGTAACATTTTTTTAAAACTGAGGCTTTAGCAAAGATTCAGGAGAATATAAATGATGGACATGAGCTCAAAGAATATTTGTAGGAAAACATTGTTCAAGATAGAATCCTCAAGTTTATGTAAGGATAAATATTGCTGAAGAATTTGGCATGACTTTTAAATGGTCATTTTATTTTAATATTATAGATATTTTGAGACAAATAAACTGGCTGGAATTAGTCTGTGTCTCTTTAGGGGCTTGTTTAGGCTCTGTCACCTTCAACACTGTTGACACAAATCCTTTAGGGAACATATTTAGTTCAACTCACCTTATTAAATAGCTTTGGATTTTCCTAAGAAGAGAAATCTATTTCAATCAGATTGAATTGTTGGGAATCGCCAATTGTTAGAAATCTTAATTGCGTCTCTGAGCAGGTTATTTTTCTCCAAGTGATCAAATTTCATTTTTTCCCCCAGTAAGGTTGCTGATTTGCTAATGATTGCCATGCCTTACAGAATTATCTGGTACCTTCCTTATGCTATTGTTTTAGGCATTTCTGTATATTTTTAAAATATTTGATATATTGTAGAAATGTTTTTGTTCAAATATTGGTCTTGGTGGATAGATAGATAGATAGATAGATAGATAGATAGATAGATAGATAGATAGATAGATAGATAGATAGATAGATAGATAGATAGATAGATAGATAGATAGATAGATTTGTTAGTTGTTTTGTAGCACAGCAACTTCTTTGTGGGGTAAAGCATGCTCAAGCACAACATGATCAACAGATATTTAACTGGAGCAAAACTTTAAAACTTCAGCTGACAATGAAAACTGAAACCCCACCACCACAGACACACACATTCTCTCATATAGCAGACAATATCGAATTTCAGCCAGTATTAATTTCAAATACTATATATTATAAAAAAATTAAGGGTAATTTGCAGAATAATTTACCCCAGAGTGGTACTTTCCAAACTCTCCTGATTTTCCAACAGCAACTGCAATATGGTGGCAATCATCTAATCGGGTCTCCTGAGTAACAAATAAAGCAGAAGTAAGATTTCGCATCACTTGCATGCTTCAGGAAGCGGTGTAGGACAACTTGCCATGGCCAACTCACCATGGCCAACTTGCTATGTGGATAACTTGTCATGGCCAACTCACTGCAGGATAACTCAATGCTGTATTAATCGTTTCATTCAGTTACCTTTATTATTGGTGACCATGTTTTCATCAAAATTATTCTAACACTCATATTTATGGATTAGCTCTCTTTATTTTATTACTATTGACCATGGTTCCATCAAAATTAATTGAACTTTTGTATTTTTTGAATTGCCCCACAGTGAATTGTCCTGTGACATGTTGGTCACAGTGAGTTGGGCATAATGAGTTGTTCCATTCCACCAGGAAGGTTGGTGACAATACAGCGTAAGCTAGCTTTTCTCAACTAAATGCTTGTTTGCACTTTCCCCCTTTTCTCATATAACAAGTAAAACTACAAAACTTTGTGATTCTGATGACATGGTCCACCAATCAAAGAACAGTATGGATTGTAAAGATGCAGTCCAATTTCTTTCTTGATCATAATTTAAAATACAAGATGGCATTTGTTTCATCTTTAAATTTCATGTTTCAAAACAGGAACTGAATTCCCATCACCTTAGTCCTAGGAGTTAAAAGGTCATTTTTCAATGATTTCCACATTACTTCATTTTTAAAAAATCTAATGAATCTGAAGTTATTGTCATAACCTCATGTATATTACAGACATTAGAAGAGGTTTCAACTTGAGATGAGTAATAGGAATTATGGCAGTTATTTATTTTTGTTTGTCTTGGGAAAACGCTACATTTCATTAGGAAAGCCCATTCTTCAACCCAATCATTACATCAGCATGCCAAAAGTTATTGGATAAAAGTCAGATGGTAACTTCATATTTCAGACTCAGTCATTTATAGCTGAGGCTAAAAATATGTTGCTGCTAAAGTTATAGCAGAAAGTGAGAGAGGAGGAAAGATTTTAGCTGATGAGGAGGTAGGCGCTAATAATGCTAGAGACAGCATCATTTATTTCAATGCAAACCTATTATGTTTCAGTTCAATATGTATGATGGATCTAGGGAATAGCTTGTAAATTAAAATTATACCTCAAATGTCCACTCCTTTTCTTCTTCACCATCCAAGTGTACAATAGTTTCATTGTATGTTTTTCCTACTTCCAGCTCCACCGGGGACACATTAAACTCAATCCTTTGAAGGTCAAATCCTATTCCAACACCAATGGCTTTCACGAAGCTCTCTTTTAATGCCTAAAGTTTGACATTCAAACACAAGAGGTTATTGGGTGTATAGAATAGGTTTGTAAATCATTCTGAATCATTTCTAGGCATTAATCAGCCCCTCTAAACCAGTCATGCAAGACACGATTCCTTCTCTTTACACATTTATTTAGTAATTACGTATATGTACACAATTTTGATATTAGTTGAAGGACAGCTTTAATTATTAAATCGAACTACTACTACTGCTCCTGACACTTTCCACTTGTGAATCCATCAAAGCTGTGGTGAACCTGACAGCCTTTGAACGTGTTGGACTAAAACCGTGATGGCAAACCTGTGGCATGTGTGCCAGAGATGGCACGCAGAGCCCTCTCTGCTGGCACGCGCGCTGTTGCCCCAGGTCAGATCTCCGTGGCGTTTCTTTCGTGAGCTTGTTTCCCTGCAAACGATGAAACAGAAGCTCACGAAAAGAAAAGATCTTATCTCTTAACATGCTGTCGGTTTTGAGATGCCCCGCCTCCCATCGGCGAGCTGGTCTTTGGGTCTCTGCTGCGCATGAGTGCATGTCCACACATGTGCACATTCGCGCATGTGTGCATACCTTTCAGTTTGGGCATGCATGTGCGCAGTTTAGGCACTCGGTATATAAAATGTTCGCCATCACTGGACTAAAATTTCATGGTTTTTTTTCAAGTCTTGAACTAGATTTCATTTCCTAGCATTCATGTTCTTTATTGCTGCCCACCTCCTTTTATGTTTTTTCTATTCCTTCTATTCCTGTATTCTTTCTATTCTTTCAGTAAGCTGCTAGTCTCTGTTATAAATCAGGCCAATGGACGCTTTGAAGGAGCTTAATTCCTGTGAGCACAGGCAACGTTCTAAGGATGGGCAGCAGCAGGAATGAAAGAGCTATGGCACTGCTCAACTGTCCTTCCCAGTCACAATACAACTTTTTAAAAACTTCAACGGCATTAAAGAAATGAATTTAAAAAAATAATTGCAGACGAAAATGCCTAATATGTTCTAAGCATTGTGCAGGTATTGAAAGGTAAGGTAATTCCTGTGAAGAGATTCACAGTCTAATAGAAAAGAGATAAAAGAAAAAAAATTAGGAAGGAAAAGGAATGGAAGATCTGAACAGCTATTATTTTTTTATGAATGGAAAGGTTCATTTACCCTTTTGCAAATATATTTTTCTTAAGAAGTAGAGGATGTAGTCTAATTTATCTTCATTTGAGCTGGCCAAATTAGTTCTCAAATAGTTGTCAAAGAATTACCAAGACATCCTGGAAATTCAGGTCCATTAGCATAATGAAGAGACTATAATAAAATATACTATGTATTCCTAGGTAGTGGGTATTAAGTTATTGTTGGTTTCATGGGTCAAACATTTGGAAATTAAATTTGTAAGATTTGGATTAAATCTGGGATCATTGGGTGGATCACTCTTCTACAACCTAAACTATCAAACAAGATTGTTGGAATAATCAAATAGAAAATAATCGTTTAGTTTACCTATGGTACCCCTAAACTCTTTGAAGAAAGGTCAAGATACAACTGGGAAAGCCAGAATGACCTTTTCTGGAAAAATGATTAATTCCAGTTTTCTGGATTGCTGTAGAATTCTTCCAGGAAGTTTTCAAAATAGACATTCCACATTCAAAAAAAGTGTTGTCAAAATAATGAATGCTTACATGCTTGAACAGGGACTGTATTAATTGACAATAAACAATAAATTTTATTACCCAGTGCCTATGAAACATATCCAACTGAAGCCATTCATTCTTCATGGACTTGATAACTCGCCATTCTTCTTCTGTGAACTGCCGTTTCATAAGCTGAAAAAAATCAGGAATTGAACCACTTCCTGAAATTAAAAAACAACAACAACAGTAAAACAGAACTGGTAGCAGACCATTGAAATTAACACTAGCTGGAATCATTCACTGCATTGTCAAGCCTTACATGAAGCCTATCGGTATAATGTATGAACTTCAGATGTTGAAATTGTTAATTCTTACTTTATGGCATAACTTGCTGTGTTACCGAGATAGTTGTAGTTTATTCCTTAAACCAAGGCAAAGAAACTATAATTTAGCATGTCTTCTGATCCAAGCTGTTTACCTTCCACAGTACAAATAGAGTCTTTAGGGTTTCAGACAATTTCAGTCACAGTCTTGTGCACTTTTTTTTTTTAAATTTGATTTATATGCCGCCCTTCTCCGGAGACTCAGGGCGGTTTACAGTGCGTTAAGCAATAGCCTTCATACTTTTTGTATATTTATACAAAGTCAGCTTTGTATAAATATACAAAGAGTCAACCTTCCACCTTTCTCAGGTACACAAGCCCATGACAATTATATTGATGGAAACTGGGATATTTAACATTTAGAACACATACTCATCTACTGATAAGTCTGAAATCTTTTATTAGGAAGGATAATCTACAGCTCATAGGTAGCTTCCCCAAAGCTTTTTGGTACCCCAAAGAGTTTCATTAGATATTCTATTTTGTTTATGTTTTTTACAAGATTGAATGTTTTTTTTTGTTTTTGTTTTTTTACAAATTATTACATTTAAGATAAATTTAGGAATATTTGGAGAGTGGAGTCTTTTTTGAACAAAAATGTGTTCCAGACCCATCAATATTTTGGAATTTTCTCGCCAACATGCCACACAAAGGGGAAATAAAAATCTTCAGAAGTAAGAAATATCCAAATGAGAGATCATCATTGCTGAGAAGAATGAAGAAAAAGAAGGTTTATTTTTTTAAAAAAAAGAAATAAAAAAAATCATGAAATGGACCTGTAGAAATTATGCTTTTTATTTTTATGAATTAAAAATAAAGTGTATTTTTATGAATTAAAAATAAAGGTATATAACTGATTGTTATAACTGGTGACAATACCTGTAGAAAACAGAATTAGTATATACATACATACATACATACATACATACATACATACATACATACATATATATATATATATATATATATTCTTACTTCTTCATAGGGTTTATGTGTGTTTTTCTTCTAGCTAGGTTTTCCCTACGTAGCCAAGGTTTTTTTGTAGCTCCAGCTCAGTAGAATCACATCTACTCGGTTCTGGGCTTTTTTCCTTTCTAACACCTAGCAAGCTCTAACTGCTAGGTGGGAGACCTAAATAGATCCATTTCTAGCTCGTTAGCTGTCATCAGTAGGCCACACCCATATCCTCCCTGTAAAGGCACAGTATCAATTTTCTTACTTCTTCGTAGGGTTTATGTGTGTTTTTCTTCTAGCCAGGTTTTCCCTACGTAGCCAAGGTTTTTTTGTAGCTCCAGCTCAAAATATGGATATGGGTGTGGCCTACTGATGACAGCTAACGAGCTAGAAATGGATCTATTTAGGTCTCCCACCTAGCAGTTAGAGCTTGCTAGGTGTTAGAAAGGAAAAAAGCCCAGAACCGAGTAGATGTGATTCTACTGAGCTGGAGCTACAAAATATTTCCAGTTGAATCTTTAGATTCTCTTGTGGCCAGGAGGGGAGAAAGGATTTTGAAGGCAAAGGTTTAAGATAAAGTTAATAGAAAAGCCAATAGTAATACATCTCTATACAAATACATCAGAGAATTCTCAGTATAACAGCAGAATCAATTTAAAGAAACAAAGTTTTTCACAGTTGAGGTAAAAGGCAAAAGGTTGGTGGTTGTTGGGGCAGCAAAGAATTAAATGGAAACAGATGATCAGTTCACTGGATAAATCACCAAAATACATCAGGTTAATCTTTATGGATTTCAAGCTGGAATTTATAACGATGAAAATATAGAGAAATTTACAGCAGACTTGTTGTCTAAATAACTATCCTGAAAACCTCCTGGTTGTTTTTTGTCATTATTATGATACCACATAATTATAGTTAAAATGATAAGGAACATGGCAATTTCTAATGAAACATTTTTTTTTTTTTTTTTGCTTTCAGAAAGTCCATGTTTTAGTTGTTTGGTGAGTTGAAACTACTATTATTACCGTGTTTGCTACCACTACAATTTCTCTTTCTTCTCTTTTTTTAATGCTGGCAAATCAAAACAGGGAATCAACATCTTAAGAATTTTCTGGCACAGTTTCACCTAATTTCTTCATGTCCCAGATTTCTGAGAGTTTGTAGTGTCAATCCAATTGCAGAGAGCCAAATTAGCATTTGTGGATTAATGGGACAAATACTTGTATTCATTTCTACTCAGGGAATTATGTAATACCTTTCCGAAATTATTTCCTTCTTCTATCGCTAGCTAGCCTTTCTGCCCACAAGGCAGTCAAGGCAGATTTTTTTTTAGTATATTTAAACTATTTTAAACTGTATTTAAACTAAAATACAATTTTATTTTATTTTTTTAAAAAAGAAGTTTAAATGGAGAAAATCATTACCACTTTGACTCTAGATTAATTAGAGTAGTAAATGTACAGAAAGACAAAGTTGCTGATTACTGCAATCAATTGCTGGGTAGAGTTTAGAGAATGTCATGATTCTTTCTCTATTTATACCACTTCTATCTGCCCCCTGCCCTCAGCCTTCTATAAACAGAGTGGCAAAATCAGTGATTTCCAGAAAGAAGATTTAGAATAAATCTTCAGGACATGCAGTCCTGAAGCATCTGGAGAACTGAATGTTATTGAGGACCGTGCAAAGTTCAGCAGAGACCAAATAGCATATTATTAAAGGGAGCATAAAATTCATATTTTAATTTCTTAAGTGTTAAAATCTAAGAGATTCCTTTGGATTAAGAAAACAGAGTTGGGACGCTCCTATTAATAAAATAGCATTTGGAAACATTTTTTTCAGTGTTCAAGTTGCAAAACTGCTTATTAGCAACTTAAAACTCATTAATCATATTGTCACATTAGAAATATATTTTTTAATTTTTTTAAAAAAACCTGCTGGGTCATAAAACCTAAAGTTGAATGTGACCATTTGTAATTCTTCCTCAAGGAAAACTGGAGTTCAAGAGATATTTTCTAGAAATAAATCTAAGAAACCAAAAATGTTGATATTGTTTTCTTTTTTAAGCACCTAGAAAGCATTTAAGTTTGCATCTGCCTACCTTTTAAAGTACCAATATAAAGCCATGCCTCTCCACGGCACAGGATTTCCAATTAGTACACATTCATATGGTGCTCTGTCATAATTGATTATCACTGGAGTTCAGGATTAGCTGTTTTCTCCTCTGCAATATTATTGTTTGCAAATCAAGTCAGAACTTGGTGGCGCAGCGGACTAAAGTGCTGTTAAGTAGCACCAGCTGCCTGCAATTACTGCAAGTTCAAATCTCACCAGGCTCAAGGTTGACTTAGCCTTCCATCCTTCCGAGGTAGGTAAAATGAGGACCCAGATTGTGGGGGCAATAAGCTGACTTTGTATAAAAAAGAACACCGCTTAGGGGGGGCCAAAAGCCCTACTAAGCAGGTATATACAAAAGTATGAAGGCTATTGCTTAACGCATTGTAAGCCACCCTGAACCAATAAATAAACAAATAAATAAATAAATAAATAAATAAATAAATAAACAAACAAACAAACAAACTAACTAACTAACTCAAACTTTTGCTTTTGAAAGACCTCCTTTCTTGAACTTCATTTCCATCCTATTCCATCAGTTAATCTTTGATCCATGCTTCTGAAAACGTATCATTCCATGGGCAAGAAAGTCACAGTTTCTTCACGTGGGGAAACCTTGCCAATAACAATTCTATTTAGTATTAATAAGGTTCTTCTCTATCCAATGAAATAATGGTTAGAGGGTTACAGATTTAGAAATTAGAGCTCTAATCCCGCTGGCTAAAATGACCTTTGGATCAAGGATGTGAAAAATGAAGATGTTTTTTGAGTAACACCTGGAAATTGCAGTGGTGTAAATTGTTCGCTGAATTAAGTTAAGATTGCCCATTCTACAATCCCATAGTTTTTACAGGCAACTCCACAGCAATAATTTAGGTAAGAAAACCAACATCACATCCAGTGTGATCTTCACTGCATTCTCCAAGAGCCAAAAGCACAGTATCTGAAAACCATTACTTTGACTTTGTTGTGATAAGAGTTCATCACTTTTAAGTTACAATGGCAGACATAAAATATGGAGCACAATTCAATACTATCAGAAAATTGAGCACTAGTTCAAAGCCTTCAATCATGTTATACTTCACGGTTCCAAAAATATAATTTTGTACACACTCCCACTCATGTAAAATAATTCAAATGCAATAATTTCCATAAACCTATATAAAGAAGCCTTTCCCCCTGCCCCCCCCACCTTTCACCAGATACAAGGATTCACCATTCTGGATTATATTTCTCTGAAACATGTGGCTAGGAAAATACTGCAAAGGGAAATTTTTAAAAAAGGATAAAAAAAAACCTGAAATAGAACAATTTACTTTTAGTAACGTATTTTAATTCTATCTATGTGGGACAAAGCAAACTCTTCAGTCAATGATAAGAGACCAGTATGAAAATAATAAAGCTATAGCTATTCATCTTCCTTGATACAGAAAGATTTTCCATGTTATCAGTTTTCCACAGACATCACTTTATAGCATATTAATCAGAATAGGAATATATATTATGGAGATGATGCAAATTATCTTTTTGAATAATTATTATTTCAGCACAGAAAGTATTGGAAAAGCTTAAGGTGATACTGAATATCAAATTTGGTATTTCATATTCAGTATTAAATACTGTTCCTGTTCCAGAATTTGACAATATCAAATACTGTTCTAAGTAACTGATTCCATTGCAAGGTCACATCACTTCCAAAATGGGCCCATTTTGAGGTCAGACCATTTCTGGATCACTCAGAATGTTCCAAATTCAAAAGAGGCCATTTTTTACATTCCTGTAACTCTCATAGATATCATCAGACACAAAGGGACAAGGCATGAATGTAATTTTTATGCGATTATTGAGACTTAAATAGTGCTTAATGATTGCTCAGTCAGTTTAGGCAAACAAGGCCCAATAGCATGCATAGTATTGAAGGAACAATAGTCAAGATCTGGGGGACATTGAATTATCTGCTTCCACTTGGGACAAGTTCACACAAGAAATTGATTATTTAACTGTAACTGAAAAGGATACTTTTGGTGTGCTTTCCAGAGGCATTTTATGGACCACAATAGAAAGCAGATTGTTGAACTGAAAAAGGAGTCTGCTGTTATTGAATATGTCTGTTCTTATGGCTTTTAAAGCACTAAATAGTCTCAGATCAGATAGTCCAAGTCTTCCCATACAAAGCTATCTGTTTAGAATGAGAAAGGGTCATTGCACCATTGTACCTTAAATTAAGAAGACCATTCCCCCCCCCCCTTTTTTTTTTTTTACTATTTCTTTGTATGCTGCATCTTTTAAATGTTAAGCCTTAGGACAAGATCTTTCTCCCTATGGAAAGCCATCAATTTATCTTGGATTTTATTGGGATAAAAAATAAAGCTGTTTAAGCACTGAAACTGATCTGTTTCCAGATGTAACCATTGTGAAAAGCAAACAAGTATGAAGATTTTGCATTGCGGCATCCAGATTCTAAAACCAGGTGGAATTGGGACTCTACTGATTAATGAAAATATTCCATTTACAAAGGAGTTAAAGTGGACTTAAGTGATGCTTCTTTCTGCATTAATCTGCAGTCACAAATAGCTCACTGAATAATGTTTTTTTGTTTGTCTTTAAAATTAATGCTATTTGGGTTTACATTGCTACTGATTTCTTATACATAAAATAGCTTTTAATTAATGGAAGCTCTGCAATATGGAAAACATTTTGGCAGAATTCATACCTTATTTTGCAGATGTCACCCTCAGTGGGAATCTACAACATATACTAAAGATTGTTGACAATAAGCAGGATTTCGCCAAAAAAAAAAAAAAAAGTTGGTAAATAGAAACTGTTGACACCAGGATTAGATAGAATTACTAGGAAAAAAATTCAAAAGGACAAGTAATCAAGTGGCTTAATTTCTAAAGAAAAACCCACACAATGGACATATCAAACCATATGATTCTATACTATAGAACTGACTATATTCTATATAGAGAATCAGTCTCTTCAGAATCTGGGAACTCCAGTTTTCTCATCTGAATCTCTGAAAATTGTGCTTCAAAGATTGCTACCCATTCCTACTTATAGAACAAAAATGAAATTGAACACATTTGCTTGAATCTACATTGTAAGTATTAAGGAGTCTGGTACTAAAATCACGATCCGTGCATATATGCACTACTACATTTTGAAACCTTATTCTCTTCACCAGATCAGGAGTATTTGGTAGAACAACTACACCACCATGTGGTTTTCCTTGCGATGACACCTGCTACCACAGATACTATTATTACCAGTCAGGCTTTCATTCTCCAGATGTGTCAGCTATGATTTTCAACACCTGACAGGATGACTGAAACAATGAAAGCTTTATTACCAAGTTATTTGGAAACAATGTTGTAAACTTTCTGTCTTGCCACCTACAAATTCATGTATTATTTTTTCTTCAAAAAGTAGCCAATGCAATTCTCCCTTTCAGCGTAACAACAACAATCCTGGAAGCAACTCAAGTAGGTTTCATGGCTGTGGAAGAATTTTAATGCAGGTGACTTTGTACTTTTGAATACTGGGTTTGTTTCTATAATTTCAGAGATCATTTGCCTGTCCTAACCCTAAGATCTAAACGGTTCTAATAATGTGCAATCAAGTGAAAAGAGAATCAATAACTAATAATCATTTTAAAAAATTGGAATATGACTTAAGTCATATTAAGCAAGCAAAAGACCCATCCTAGGTTAGGACATAGACCAATGGTGGGTTTCAATTTTTTTTACTACCGGTTCTGTGGGTGTGGCTTGGTGGGCGTGGCATGGTGGGCGTGGCAGGGGAAGGATACTGTAAAATCTCCATTTCCTCCCGATCAGCTGGGACTTGGGAGGCAGAGAATAGATGGAGGCGGGGCCAGTCAGAATTTTTACTACCGGTTTTCCGAACTACTAAAATTTCCGCTACCAATTCTCCAGAACTGGTCAGAACCTGCTGAAACCCACCTCTGACATAGACATATCATGTCCCATTACCTGGCATCGTAGTCTTCATGATATCAATGCCAACCTGACAATCAGGTTCAGCTGCCAGTACAGTGTAATTTCCTTGATGAGAAACATTAAAGCTGAAGTTGGACTGGGTGCTGCTTAATGTGTCTATAAGGACAGGTTTGCCTTGTGAAGTCCTTTGTAACTGTATTTTGTTCCAAGGAATCTTCAGCCTTTCTGCAATTAATTTTCTTATCATCAGGCGGCCAGCCTGCAAAATAAAATAAACAAAACAACTCACAACACATAAATTGTTCCACGCGAGTAAAAAAAAAAATGTATTACAATATTATTTGCTTGAAAAACATTTGGACTACACCTCATGGAGTAAAATGACAATTCAGTTACCTTTTTAAAAAAAAAGCAATATGAACGGATTCAGTCTTGCAACTACAATATTTTCTTAAAACTTCTGTGCTTCTTCGAAGAATTTAAAAAGAAATTGTTCTACACTTATTGACAAAATCACCTTATGAAGTAGGCGAGGCTGAGAGAATATGAGAAAGTTTCATGGCAAAATAGAGATTTGAACTTCACTCTTTAAGTAATACTTAAGACTTTAAAAATATAGTATTCAATTCTGAAAGATATGAATCCATTATATGTACTAGCTCCATACTAAAATTAAATCTTTTGACAGATTTTGTTCACACATTTCCCATGTTTTATATCCATTGACAGTGTTTATATTTATAAAGTTGATATAGTTATTTGCAGATGATTTTAATTGTGCCGGATTCCTGATTACAAAAAATGTCATTTTTCCCAATAATGCAATACACCCTGCCCTTACATGTAAACAGCCTAAATTTTTCAAAAATCTGACTATAGTTTGACAAGTTGCCATCATAAAATCACCTGCCAACAATTTTTGTTTTAATGTCTCATTTGATGGAACAAAAATGTTTTCTTGTGCAACTGCTGAGTTCTAATTTCCAGAGCAGTAAATCAACTTATTTCTTCATTTTATGACATAAGTGAAAATGAATCTGAATTCCCTCCAATAATCTGAAGAGACTGTTTTACTAATATGGGACAATTGGACTAGAATACTACAGTATTTAGAATGATTTCCCATTGATTTGTGACAAAGCGGATTTATAAAGAATTTATAGTCAGTTTGTACCATGTTCCATTCTTAAATATATTCCTAAATCTGTTTTTTTCATATTTCTTATTAAATATTCAAGCTCCTCATTTCAATATTGAGTAATATTTTATAAATTATTGAAACTAAATCCATTTTGGATTCTTATATGAAGTAATGGCTATCAGTTTCAATTTTTTTTAAAGAAATGTTCAGATGAGTGAGATACATGTTAATCTTCATTTAGAAATTAATTAATTTAACAACCATTCACAGTTATAATGGTGATGAAAAAATAACTTTATATTCAATCCTTTATATTTATGGTTTTTACAGGCCTTTAAAGTGAAGAAAAGCTTAAGTAAGATCATAAGCGTAGTTGTGGTTTCACTTAGTGATCACTTCACTTAATGATTGATTTGCCGGTCTCAAGAGGATGACCTAGTAATAAATAATAAGAAGATGAGTAGTATTTAAGAAAAATAAAAGTCTATCTTTTAAAGGAAATTGATAATGTGTATAGAGGTACTTTAGTTTAGTTATAAGACAGAATGCAATTTTTTCCTATTTATCTTTCTGCATTTCAAATTCAATGTGAAGATAGATTGTGAGTCATAGAAAGCAGGTTTAATTCTCTTGAAGATTGCTTTCAGAGATAAAAACCCTAACAGAGTTAAAAATCCTAACAGAGAAAAGATTGTCCCCACAAGAAATCAATGTTTTTAGGAATCACATACTATCAGAACACTTATTTTAAAAAATAAAATAGTAAAAGTAGGAACTAAGACAATGGAATTTGAAACATTTTGCTTTTCTTCAGTTTAACTGACCAAAATCAACTTATGTTCATAATGATTAAATTTATGTAAGCAAGAGAAATATGTATATACTTACTTTGTCATGAAATGGATGGCTTTTGTTACATTGAAAAATCTAATTATGGTATGTGCCCAGACACATACTTCTCTATAACATCAAAGTGGATTTTAAAATCAGATTTATTTATGTATTGAATGATTGGTTTCTACATTTTCTACTATTATGGAATGAAATATACTGATACATAATGCACTTGTGTGTTATTTCCAGAACTTCAGCGCCATCTGTAGAGCTTAATTTCAGCCTTTTATAAAGACTCATCTTTTTATTAAATTATTTGATGTTACTAAAAACTTAGAATAATACTACAGTATTTTATACAATAGTAATACCACCAAAGCCTCTCCTACCATGTGCCTCAGCCTACTAAACACATGAAATACAATTTTCAGCCAAAGTTTCAATGTTATGGAAATCTGGGGAAAGGTACCAGATGTTTGATGATATCATACAAGATGTGATGGAAAATTTCTAGTTGTCCCTCTCATGCAGCAAGAGCAACACTACTGATATGTGGCTTGATATTCACTATAGCCCTGAATGCAGTGGTGAAATCCAGCCAGATCTATGTGGTTCGCGCGAACCGGTAGCACCGGCGGTGGGAGGCTCCGTCCACCCGCCAGGACCTCATTATGTCCCGTTTTTGACCCTCTGTGCATGCGTAGAACAGTGCGCTCCCATTCCCGAACCGGGAGCAAAGATAAATGGATTTCACCGCTGCCTGAATGATGTGCATTAAATCATACAGGTTTAAAGCACTTGTCCCTTCTAAAATTTCCAAAGCAATCAGAATGTTTCAAAGGTGAATAAGAGCATACCATAGCAGCTTTGGCATCCCGACCAAAGACAAACTGTTCAATGCGTTTTTTCTCTTCAGGCTGCACAAGGCGCATGGCTAACAACCATTCCTCACAGCAAGGGGCCCAGGTGCGGTATGAAAATGCCCAGCGTATACTTTCCATGGCGAGGAGCTCCAAGGACACACCCTAAAAGGTGATGCTGTCAAACATACATATTCCAATCATCTGGAAAAAAAGAAGCAAAGTTGATCAAACTTTTGAAGTTGCTGGCTCTGATTTGAAAGACTTAAATTTGGAGGGCACAACAATCACTGATTTATTCTACCCTCCTTCCTAGAGTTATCACAAATGCAAACCTGTGGCTACAACAATGAATTTACCTACATATTCACTAGATTGCAAAGTATTTTAGAAGTTTAAAAGTTTAAAGGCAAATAAAGTATTACTCGATGAACTAATTTTAAAGTGTCAGAAGAGTACAACTGCAATAAAAGAGTATATGAGTAGAGTGACTATATTTGCTTGGGGAAAAAATAAAGAAAAAATCTGAAAAATGGGCAAATCTGATTCATAAAAATTTTAAAAAATCATTTTATGTTTATAACTTTAAAAGGGAAAATTCAGGAGCAAAACTAAGAAAATAAATCTAAATGAGCTTTCTGAAATAAAGGACTGTGTTTTATAATAAAGGATCTACAGTAACTGCTGAAAACCAAATTTGGCCCTAGGTTCTGCCTCATTTACCTTTCCAATAAGAAACTGAGTCGGAAGATCATTTAAAAGCAGTTTATTAGGGTACCCTGATAGAGAGGGATCCCTGAATGAAAAAGTCTTGTTAACCCGACAAAGAGGAAAGATTAATTGGACAGGGAAGAATAACCTCCCCTTTGCATAGGTAGTTACATGTAGTCAAACATGTTACATCACACACGTTCATTAAAATGGGTCTGACGTCAGAGGTGGTGTAATTTTAAGGAAAAGGGTTGTCTGGAATCAGGGGTTGGTTCTACTTATCTTTACTACTGGTTATATTATATTATTATATTATCAATATTATGGTGATAATACCACAACAAAGATGTGTAACATGACTATTTAAACATAACTGTACCCAGGCCACACACTTTGACGAAAATTGAATGTTATAGAAATAAAACAAATAAAACATGAAAAAAAAAAGGAAAAAAATAGAAAAGTGACTTGACCATGTGCTTAATGTGATGGGCATAAGGATGATTGATTCTGGAAGCGGGAAGGGGATAACAGGTCTTCCACACCTCAGCGGGTAATCCCAAAGGTGCTTAAAAAAAAAAAAGGCAACTGGACTTTCTGGTTTTTCTTTGAAGACCTTTCACTTTTCATCCAAGAAGCTTCTTCAGCTCTGACTGGATGGTGGAGAATCAGAGTTCTTGATTCAGAGTTCAGACTGAATTCTTCAGTCAGAGCAGAAGAAGCTTCTTGGATGAGAAGAGAAATGCCTTCAAAGAAAAACCAGAAAGTCCAGTTGCCTCTTGGGGGGAGAGGGGGAAGCACCTTTGGGACAACTGTGACCTGGATGAGGGATTTCCAACCTTGGCAACTTTAAGCCTGGAGGACTTCAATTCCCAGAATTCCCCAGCCAGCTTTGCTGGGAATTGAATGGGAATTCAATTCTGGGAATTGAAGTCCTCCAGGCTTAAAGTTGCCAAGGTTGGAGACCCCTGACCTGGACGACATAGAATCTCCATAGTCTCAGCGGGTAATAGAGTTTTCTTCCCAGCCAATCATTGAACTGCTCAGAGTGAGTCAGAGGAGATTCCCCCCAATCACAACTAGGCTTACTTGCAAGGCAACGTAAAGGGGGGGCGCGCGCGCAAAGGACAGAGTAGAAGTATCACGCGCTAAGTGCTGCTTACCACTCATCTTCTGCTTCTCTAAACGAAGTTGAACCTGAAGCGGGAGAGGGCGGAAACGCAAAGTGCGCCGACCAATCGAGGCATAGCCGCCCAGGAGAAATCTATCCAATCACCGCTGGCCGCAAGCCCCTGCAGTGTGCATAGAGCTAGAAATTTAAACATAACTACTCTGATAACGGACTTCTGTTCAACATCTTATCACCGTTTGATAAGGAAAGACAACTTTTATCAATAAGATACAGAAGGGTTAATGGGGTTCCTAAGGGTAAACTCGTGCTCAACGGCATTGCGCCCATTGCGGATTGGGAAGAGGCGGGGTTAAGTGAGTGATTGACATTTGCCTATACGAATCAGGACGCAACACTTGTTTTGACTGACAGGAGGGAAGCCAATGGACGAACTGCGGTGGGTTTTATGCGGCCGATGTAGCAGATGTTTCCTACAGCTCCTTTGGAGGATGCAGGTAGGTAAAAGTGACGCGATACAGCCAGAATAAAAAAAAAAGCGGGGGGGGGGACGAGAGATGGGCTGAATGATAGTGAATTCATTCTCGCAAAGGAAGTCACACTTTTCCGAAATGGGGTCGATTGAAGAAAAGAACAGACCTTTTCGCTAAAGCATCAGAGGCCATAACGAGCATGCGCGCGTACTTGGGCATGCGCAAAAAGAAGTACTAAGTAGGTACGTCTGATGGGCGTGGCGCGGAAAGTGGAAGCCGTTAAAAAATAAATAAACGCAGCGCGGGCGGGAAAGGAGATGCAGGGATGCTTTTTTTTGGGAGGGGGGAGGGGATTTGATTGCAATGTGAAAGAATGAATTAGGCGATGCTTGATCTACTTAAAATTAGAAAAAGAATTAGACTACCCAGTGTTGTGATAAGCGGACACATCATTAGCCGCACGTGCTAGGCTAGAAACCGGGAGACCGAGTTCGATTCCCCACTGATGCACGAAAGCCAGCTGGGTCACCTTGTGCCAGCCACTCTCTTTGGCCCTAGGAAGGGGGCAATGGCGAATCACCATCTGAAAAAACCATGTCAAAACTGCAGAAGACACACCCAGGCGCGCCAATGAACTAGCACTTTCTTTGTCATTTGTGTAAAAGCTGGCCTTATTCCCAGCGGAATTACGCTAGAAATCAATTTAAAAAGCTCGGCAGCACCTCCTTCCGTCCCCCAAAATCTGTTGCCTTCCAGAACTGCTGGAATTACAATTTCCAGAATCTCGAGATTGCAAGGGGATCATTTTTTTTTTTTTTGAGTGTTTTAGTCCAGAGGATTTGGAAGGTAGCAGATTTGGGCGGGTGAGGGGATCCTCTATAGAAGTCGAGATACTTTATGCCTAAACTTTGATGAGAGCTGTACTTTTCAGATACAAGGGATATTATTCAGACAGGTGTATATCCATTTCGGTTATAGAAGGGGACTGAAGGGGGCATATTTGAGTCAGAAAAGGATTGCAAACTCAAAAAAGATACTACCGGTAACAATTACAATTTCAGTGCAGTAATTGTTACAGAATAATGTGATGGAGCTCTCCCAAGGAAAACGCCTGGATAGTATTTAACAATATTTGGTATTATTGCTAAAACTGCCACATTTGTATTAGGATTATTGTGATGATTATTTATGTCCGCTAAGAATTAGGGGGGAAACTTCTCATCTCTGCAAAAGTGTTTGTTAGCCTGAGTCAGGAAATGGATATACAAAGATTTGAAAGTTGCTTATTCTAACCAAGTTCTGAAGTGAGACTACTACATTAAATTTTCACTATTTCTTTGGCTATGAAAATGGATAGCAGAAATCTTTATTTAGTTTTGTGCGTTTATGTTGTACCCAAGTAATTCTGAAATGCAAACTGTACATTTCTTATGCTAGTGTATTAATCCTAATATGTATTACTGTATTTTAAAGTGTCAGCTTTTGTGAATTTATAGTTTAGGATATTAACAGAAATTGGTCACTGGAAATAAGTGATCAATAGGGCTGTTTATGAAAGCTTTTAGTCCTATGCTATTTTGTTTTAGCACACAAGAGTTCTTAACTGCAATAACTACAGTATGAGTCATCAACACAGAAGGTATAGCTTTTATTAATTTAGCTGCATATTCCAGTAAGAAGCCTAGGAAATAATATATCCTGCTAGATTCTGACACATTTCCATATCTCATTATTGGCAAGATTTTGCTTGATAAATGAGACTTAAAAACATTTTGCTTTCATTAAATATATTAATATATATATATATATTATTTATGCAAAAATGATAAAATCATAGACCTAGTACAAAAAGAAAAGGTGCAGTGAACAATTGAAATATTCACAAATTATATCTATTACTTACTATTACTTCTATTACTATTATCTGAGTAGGGCTAAATCTTTGTCATCATTTAGTTTTTCCTATAAATTGGTACAGCTAAGCTAACAAGAATGTAAAGTTTAATATATGTGTTTGAACATAATGTCTTAGTTTTTCGCTTAATGATCCAGAATAGACAATGAAAGTTACTGATCTATAATTGCTGCCTTATTTAAGAGTGACCAGCTATGTACTGTAGTATAAATGAGAAGCCAAATTTTACTGACATGAGAAGTCAAATGGGAAATAATTTAACATAATCACCAAGTTAGAATTCTCCAGATTTCTAACATATCATTTTGTGACCATGTGGCAAATATTTTACTTATGAGCCTAGTGGTTTTTTAAGTATTTATGTCCTATTTTTTTCTTTTCAGCTTACTGCAAAACTACAGAAACCAGGGCAATTCCATTTTTCTATTTCTTGTTTTTTCTATCTAGTAGTTTCTACTCATTTTCTATTCTAGCTAAAATCAGATAACAGAGATGATTTTCAGAATATTTAGCTATTTGCAGAGAAACAATAAAATTGTATTACAGGAGCCCCACAGTGGAATTTACTTCTTAATAGCAGTAAATAGGATTATGTTGCTAGTTAATTGTCCTTCCAGCAACATGCTTCTGGACTGGAAGGTGTAAATCATAAAGCAATGCAGATATTTCAGTATCAGTGAGGTACAGTGTAATTCATTGCATTCAAAGCATTCTAATTTCAGCACATTCTAATTTCATTCTCTGCCTATGTTATTTTATCCCTGAATTAGAAATATAGATAAAGCCTAGGTACCAGAGAAATTAGAAGTTCCATATTTTAATTTAGATTATTTAAAAATTCATATAGAGGACACTCCTCAATACATCAGGACCATGAAGTAGTATTTTTTTCTCAGTAATTTGTTATGAAAATAAGAATTAGGTTTATAATGTCTATATTATGTCTATCAATAGTAAAAGATCAAAGAAGCCATGGACAACCAGTACAATTCGAATCGCACCCCAACGTGCAATGGAATTTCAACTCATGACAAGAAAATCAGTTCTTTGGTGGCTGAAGATCATGGTCAGAGAATCTTAACCATACTGCAAAACTTCAGAGCTCAAAACATATTTTTTGACTTTAAAATACTTGTAAAAGATGAAGCAATTCCCTGCCATCGTTGTGTACTAGCAGCATGTAGTGACTTTTTCAGGTAAATGTATTTCTAAGTTGGCTCTTTTGCTACTGAATGTTGCTAAAGTTGACTAAAAACCATAAGAGTCGGCCCATGCAATTCAAATTGTAGAATTTTTTGATATTGACTTGCACACATTCCATAAAGTTGCATAGTTAGATAAAAATCAATAATTCAGTCAGTTACTCAAAAAATTGCAGGGATTTTAAAAGTAGCTGTTCATTTTCTGCAATTGTATTACAGGCCATTTAGAAATCCCATTGAATTCAAAGGTTCTTCCAATATATGCCTGTAGAGGATTGTGCTTTTGTTGTTAAGATAACATGATGCTTATACTACATAAATGTACTATATATAATATTGGTGACGATGACAAAACATGTTAATCATCTATATTTTAATTACAGGGCCATGTTTGAAGTTAACATGAAAGAAAGAGATGGTGGGAGTGTTACGATAAGTAATTTAACACCCAAGGCAGTGAAGGCTTTTCTAGATTATGCTTATACTGGAAAAACAGAGATAACAAATGATAATGTGGAAATGTTCTTTCAGCTGTCCTCCTTTCTTCAAGTTTCACTTCTTTCACAAGCTTGCAGCGACTTTCTAATTAAGAATATCGATCTTGTTAACTGTTTGCAACTCTTATCCATTTCTGAAAGTTATGGCTCCACCAAGCTGTTTGAGCGTACACTTGAGTATGCCCAGCTCCATTTTTCTTTGCTTCTCCAATCAAATGATTTCTTGGAAATGAATTTTGAGATACTGCAAAAATGCATAGAAGCTGATGAGTTGAACGTACCAGATGAAGAATTTGTGTTGAAAGCTGTCTTTTGGTGGATGAAACATGACTTAGAAACAAGGCATAAATATCTTCCTCATTTGATGAAAAAGATCAGGGTACATCAGTTACCTGAAAAGACATTGCAGGATATTTTGCACTCTGAGGAACAGTTACTTAAAACCACGAATTGCTTAGCAGTAATCAAGGAAGCAATTCAAAATGTACAGAGTTTCAGTGGGCTTTTCCCAGATCCCCGCCCATCAACTACCGAAAAATACATACTGGTTCATAAAACCGAAGAAAATAAACTTAATCAACATACATTTTGCTACAATATTAAAACTGATCAGTGGAAAGAACTGATACAAATAAATATATTTGATCTACCTGGATCAAGTTTATCTAGTTATGGTGAAAAAATATTCATAACTGGTGGGTGTAAAGGTAACTGTTTCCGGACTATTAGACTTCATATTGCTGAAACGTTTCACGATGCCACAGATCAAACTTGGTGTTACTGCCCAGCAAATGATAGCTTCTCAGTAGTATCTGCCATGAAGAAGCCAAGGACAATGCATACATCTGTTGTGATTTTAAATTGTTTGTATGTAATAGGAGGGAAGACAAGAGCATCTCAGGATATCAAAAGCCTTTTGGATGTTGAGGCATATAATCCCCTGACTAGAGAGTGGAAATCTGTCAGTCCATTACCAAGGGGCATCTACTATCCAGAAGCAAGTGCCTGTCACAGTGTAATATATGTGCTTGGTTCTGAAATTGAAATTACAGAAGCCTTTAATCCATCTCTTGATTGCTTCTTTAAATATAATGCTGTAACAGATCAGTGGTCTGAGTTAGTAGCAGAATTTGGGCAATTCTTTCATGCAACCTTAATCAAAGCTATTCCAGTGAACTGCACTTTATACATTTGTGATCTTTCCACTTACAAAGTTTATAGCTTTTGTCCGGAAACCTGTGTCTGGAAAGGAGAAGGCTCTTTTGAGTGTGCTGGTTTTAATGCAGGGGCAGTTGGAATAGAAGATAAAATATACATTCTGGGTGGAGATTATGCTCCTGATGAAATAACTGATGAAGTACAGGTCTACCATAGCAGTAGATCTGAATGGGAAGAAGTTGCGCCTATGCCAAAGGCCCTTACTGAGTTTCATTGTCAAGTGATTCAGTTTAATAAATTCAGGGATCCGTGGTTGCAAAAGTAATGTGATACAAACAATTATACATAAGTATCTAATTTCTCATATATATTTGCTTTTTATTATTTATTAATTTTTTTTGCCACTCATTTTAGCCACTGTGATTTTAAGGTAACCAAATATTAGGTTGTCAATCTACCAAATCATATTTCCGCTTCTTTTTCATAGAATGGGGATTGGTAATTGCTCTGTAGTTAATGTGTTAAAACACATATTTTGAGTTTGGATGGCCTGTGTTTAATAGTAATTTATTAATAAATTATTAAATAAATTATTGAATTTATATGCCAACTGACTTCCAATGATTGACTTCCTTCTTTAGATAAGCTCTGCCTAATAGCTGGCTACTTTTGATATTGAGAGTGGTTTCTAAAATAACTTTTTTTGGGGGGGGGCAAGAACTGATTTAAAAATTACACTAGACAACTTATAATTATCCCCCAATTTCTATAAATTTATTTAAATGGCATCCATAAACTGAATATATTTTAGATTACTAATTTCAGGAATAAAAAGAATCAATATTATGGTATAAATGTGCACACGTATGTGTTTGTGTATTAATGATTTATACTTTTAATAGTGGGAGAAAAACATCACAACCCTATAACATACAAATTCAAGAGTTGTGTTCCATGCATCACATAATCAGCTGTTTGCTGTCATGCTTACTTTTCTTTTCTTTGCAGCTATAAAACTGCATTTTTCTCCAAATAAAGTCACAATCATTAATATATTTCATAACCTGTTTTTATATTTTCTGTTTACATTAATAACTTCTGCAGCAATTTCCTATTGAGGCAACAGTCATAATTTGAAAACCTATCCCAGAGTTTATTCCTAAATGAATATGCACTTAAAGGATTTTTCATCTTAAATCTAAAGAAGAAAATTCAGTTGTACTGGTGCAACAGAAACACTGATTTATTACAAGTTCCTTCCTGTATATCACTAAGTTGTTTTTTCAATATAATCAAGACAGGAATATTTCATATTAATTGTAATTACTGAATTTCAACGTATTTTCTCTTTCATTGCTATCAAATACTATTAAAGTTTCACTAAATCATTGCCATTTATTTCAAATGTATGAGTATAAATTACAGTTCAATTTCTTTCAGGGAAAGTGATTGAATTATTGAAATTTATTTTTATCCTAAAGGCTAGGCTCTTCTTCCTTAAATTATATAATCATAACATGGACCATGGATTGTCAATTCTCCATCTGCTCATGTACCGTTCATTCCTTGTGCTGAAAATAAGTAGTATACCATACATTGTATAAAGGAGAAATATAATTTGTTCTTGCAGTCTTTATTCTTAAATATGATGTTGAATAAGTGCTGCTGACTTCAGTTGGACATACTCTTGAGAAAACATCTTTCAAGGAATCAAGCACAACAAAATAATTTAGGAATTAAGATAGAAACCATAAGAACGTGATAATGAGTGTTACATTAAGTAGCTCCCAAGAAATTGGACTGTTACATAAGTTATTTGTTTTTTTCATAACATCAAAAAAGACTTTGGAAAATTTTACCAGCTTTAAAGCAGTAGTTAAATAGTGATGGAATTATAGCTCAAAAAGAAAAACCAGGTCACATGCACGAGCAATTGGTCTTGTTGGCTATAGTATGTTAATGAATTGCATGTGAATAAATATCTTATTTGCACTAAGAACATATCAATATTTCAATTATCCAATTATTGTATGATCAATAAAGATATGGCATGATGTAATGAACAGTGTAATATATATCTACTACCATAATCAATCAGTATCAGCATTCAAATGTAATTATTTTACATATTACTTTATACCAGAAGTGGCCTCCAACCTTTTGGGCACCAGGGACCTGTTCCATGGAGAGAAGGTTTTCCACGGACTGTGTTTGTGTGTGTGTGTGTGTGAGAGAGAGAGAGAGAGAGAGATAACTGATATTTAAAAAGCAAATATCTATTGTTGAATGTGACATGGCAATTTTTTGTACAGAAAAATGGTTAATAGTTATAATAATCTCCAATTGAAGTATCCTTAGAAATGCACTGTAGTTTAATGATTTACAAAAAGATAGTTCTAGTTTACAGTTAAATGATGAATCAGATTTTAGATGGGATCGTGATCTAAAGTTAATTTACTTCTGTGAATTAAAAGAAGAGATACAAGAATTAAATGGAAAAACAACCAAATTTTGAGATGTTAACGAGTTTTTTTAAAAGTGGGCAACTACCAACTAGCAAATATAAGAAGAATGCAAGTGAGTAAGGCTGGTAAGATGGGAACATGGCTTCTTAGGAGACATCAAGATCACCTACTATCAAATGAGGACAGATCTCATAAAAGCAGACATTGCCATCTATGACCTCAATGAGCAACCCAACACTCCTGTACAGATTCTCAGTCATCCAAGTCATGGCTGTCCCAAAGGTATTTTTCAGGAGGCAAATGGACTTTCTTGGTTTTTTTTTTTCTTTTGAAGATGTTTAGCTTCTCATCCCAGAAGCTTCTTCAGCTCTTCCATTCCCCACTATCTTGTCAGAGCTGAAGAAGCTTCTTGGATGAGAAGCAAAACATCTTCAAAATAAAAAACAAGTTCAGTTGCCTCCTGAAAAAGCAACTTCGGCCCAACACTGTCCTTTTGAAACTGTCTTAAGATGCTGTCCCAAAGGACAGTAGTCAAGAGGCAATTGGACTTTCTGGTTATTCTTTGAAGATGAAGACGCTTCTTGGATGAGAAGTGAAACGTCTTCAAAGAAACAAAGTCCAGTTGCCTCTTGAAAAAACACCTTCAGGACAACCACGACCTGGATGACTGAGAATCTCCACAGACATTTAGTGCACCAAGTATGTGTTATTTTGGCTCATAAAAGGTTCTAAACCATATTGTTTGTTTGGGCTTAGTTCTTGGGGTTTGTGAACCACGGTTTAGAGGTAGTTTGCATGAATTCAGCGTGCGAGTACGCGAACAAGCGGTCTCCTCAGGGAACATCTCTAAAACTTCTTCCAAAAGAGAAAGGCGAGGAGACGCCAGCGATAAAACGCAAACGACGACCGGCTTGTCTTTTTTTGTTTGTTTTCTCCTCTCCAGCCAATGAGAGCGGCCTCTCTAGATGACACGCAGCTCTCGCGCCCAATAAGCCACGCGCCTGGATGGAGAGGCGTAAGGTGAAGCGGGGCGGGGGGGGGGGGACGGGGAAAAAGGGGGGGGGGGAAAACGCTGAGCAAAGTTGCGTGAGTTTTGAGGAGAAAAAGAGGCGGGCCGGAGGGAGGCGGTTGGGGCTTGGGAAGGGAGCGCGCGAGCTGACGAGCCGGGCGGCTCGGCCCAATCGGCGCGCCGCTTGGACCGGTGAGTGACGGGCGAGCTCGTCAGCGGCAAGGGGGGGGGGTCAAAAGGCCGGCGTTCGAAGGGGGAGCGTTTGCGCGCAGGTGAGGAGCTTTTGCGCTACTGAGGGAGGGTAGAAAGGAAAGGAAGGGGAGGAGCCGCGTCGGCCTGTGGGGAGCGGGGTAGCTGTTGGCTTGGTGGTGTTGAAGTGGCGCCTTCCTTACCTCCCCCCCCCCCCGTTCTTTGCTCGCCGCTGTTTTTTTTTTCCCCCAGTGGGCTCCCCTTTCCCTTCCGACCCCCGACATTCCCGTTAGGGAGCCGCTCCTTCGTCCGCCGGATGGAGGGAGGCCGGTGCGTGGCCCCTTCCCCGATCAGAGCCGTGCAGGATAATGCTCCCTTCCCTCCCATTCTGAAGCGCTTCCACCCGCTCTACTTCAAGAGGGAGGGTGGACGCCTTCGCCCCCCCCCCTCTCTCTGCCATTCCCTCAGACTTGTGTTTAAAGGCGGGAAGAACGGGCACCAATTCTGAGGCGGTAGACTGGACTGTGCCATTTAAGGTGGGGGGATGCTGGACAAATGCATTTCTGACCAGCTTTATTCTGGTATATTAAGTATTAATAAAACTACAGGGGCCAAAAGGGCTATTAAGACGGAACCAGTGTGCCTCTTGAGAAAGAACTAAGGTGTTTGCTTGCCATTAAGGTAGCAAACGGCCCCGACCAGAAGCTGCTCGACCTTTTTGATTTTCCCTAAGCCATGGCTTGTCAAAGAAGCTGCCCGCATTACCCTCAGTTTTAAATGATGGCTTGTGAGTTTTGATGGCTTCCTTCACCAAGCCAAAATTAAATAGCAGACCAGCCTACTGCTGTATGCACTCAAATCTTTGGGTTTGGTGGCTTCACTTCTTAATCCCTGGGTTTCACATCATAAGCCTAGAAGATCTTGCTGGATCCAGTTGTTTGGAATGTGCTTGAACATGACTTAGCATTTTATGATTTCAGTGCTAGTCTAAATGGCCAGTTGAGTATATATGACTCATTTGAACAAGACAATTTATCTTAAATATCATTTACTGTTCTCTTCATTTCCTAGTGTTTTTTTTTTGTTTGTTTTTTGCACAGCAGTCTGATGCTATGGTCTTTGCAGTTATAAGGAATAACGGCTGCAAAAAGGTAAAACTACACTACCACCCTCCATTCCAAAGAATAAATCTACTTAAGATTTTAATGTAGGTTTTGATTTCTTGAGCATTCGCAAATAGCCTAAAACCCTTCCAATCTAGATTCGTCTTTTAGGCATCTAGATCAAGGCAATTTGAGATTCAATACAAGATTGATCTAGAAAATATTTTCCCCAAACCATAAGTTTCATAGCTGTATTGAAGACAGGAGAAAAATTGTTAGCATTTTAGTGGTGCTCAAGAGCATTAATAGATTTAAATAATCTGGAGGTTATGATTGGATTTTGCAATAGGAAAAAAATAGCAAACAATGGTAGATAATATTCATTAATGTAAAAATGTGTTCTGGAAAAGGAGCTTTGAAAATATTTTCAGAATATTAAATTCAAAATTAGCTGTTGCTGTGCAAGAAATTATGTAGATAGTGAAGTTGTGGCTAGCTATTAATCACTGATGCCCTCAAAGAGGGAGATAAAATATGTTTTTAAAGATTAGCTGTAGCAACAGTTTTTCTTCATTTTGATAATGGGGAATGCATTGTCAAAAACAGCAATCCACAAATATTTTGTAATAATAAGATGAAGCCAAAGTAGGTAGAGTTCATTTTCATCTTGATTGGATACCTAAAATGTATCAACTAATGCTAAGTGTAAACTATACATTTAGAATTAAAAGATGATAAATTTAGGAATTTTTATATAGACCAAAACTAAAAATCAATTACTTTTCTACATTAAAATCTGTTCTTCAGTTCCAATCTTTTTCATGTTGAGTTAGATATTTTTGGCTAAAGAAGAAAATTGGTGACATTGCTTTTAAGTAACTGACCTGTATTTGCCAATCCACAGACCATCCAGAGTTCTAGAAGAAAATCTAGTTCTTAAGTGAAAATCTACTCTTAAGTGAAAAACAACACAAGCATTAAAAATTGAAATTAATGTAATTTATTTTTGTTTGTATCTCACCTTATTGTTTTTACAAAAAACTCAAGGCAACAAACATATCCAGCATACCTTCCTCCTATTTGCCCACAACAACAAGCCTGTGAGATGAGTTGCACTGAGCATGACTGGCCTAAAGTCACCCAGTTAGCTTTCATGGCTAAGGTGGGACTAGAACTCATAGTTTGCCACATTGTAGCTTGATGCATTAACCAGCAGATAAACAAGTAGATCAAAGAACTAATACTTCAAAGGGCATCTGATGAAATTTGGGTATTGTGTCACACATCCATAGGAAGTCTTTACACAGAATCCTAAGTCTTGAAGTTGCTTTCCTGATCTTTTTTTCAGTGCTCTGCAGTGATGGTAAATGACAGGACACTGGTGAAATGAAGAGCGGCATCTTTGCAAACGAGGCTGAATTTTTCCTTTGGTTTCTGATTTATTTCTTCTTTTTAAAACTGGTCTGATTTCATTTAATAACATTATTGGACTGGATGAAGAAAGGTTTGCTGATATCATCCCAGATTTAGCGTGTGGGATGAAAAGTAGAACTAATTAAAAGTGAATTGCCTAGAGCAAATTTTTGTTTGTTTTGTTTTTTCAGACTAATTTTGAGGTAATAGAAATGTGAAGGCTTCATTTTCGTTGGCTGTGAATCAGGTATTGTGTTATAGAATAAAACTCAGTAGATTTTAAAGTTTATTTAGTTAATATTTGGTATTAATAAACCAAGTATAATTTTTCCAAAAGGAAATAATTAACTATTTGTTCTATAAAATATAATACAGAAATCCCATTGTTTCCTTGCTGTACTTTATACATTCTTGGCTTAGAAAAAGATATAAGTTCAGTCTCATGTAGAAATAATTGAAATTTAATTTTTCAGATTTTAACCATAAGCCCATAATATAAGTAATATAATAATGCTGTCAGAATAGTATTTCCATAAGTTCTGTTGACATAATATCTTGTTTGCTTTGATTCTTGCAATAAGTATTGTGTGATGAAAAGCAAAACAAAAAATTTTTTACGGAAAGTTTCTCAAACATTTCAATAGATGTGAATTTTTTTTTATTTTCATATTTAAAAATAGTAACTTTTATAATTTTTTATATAAAAACTATCAGGTTGCAAAGTAAAATGAGAAAATAGGTGTATGTCTAGTTCTCTTTTTTCCTTCAAGTGCTTCCAGAATGGGTATGCACTTCGACCATTGGATATGGTGCCACACAAATGGGATTTTAACCAATCTATTTTAGATACATATTTTAGATCAGTCTATTGTCACATATGCTATTTCAAAGTGGGATGAAAGAACTTTAAAAAATAGCTTCAGAATCAGGCCAACAAATTATCTGGTCTGGTATAGATAGGTTTAAGAACTGCAAGTGTTTCTTTTTTCTTTTAGTTTCTTGGATCACTCTGATCAGACTTTGGCAGAGGCTAAAAATTGACAAGATAGTTTTCCATTTTAGACAAAAGTACTTTAGCAAATTTAGAAGAAAAGAGAAATCCCATGGGTATAATACGGCTTGCTCCCTTTGTGTTAATTCATCCTCTACCCAATGTAACATTTGGGAAATCAAAAAGTTTCTGAGTAATGATCCTTTCCTGAGTAATGTTCTATACAATGCTGCTCAGAAGCCCAGAATGAAAGCAATTGTTTTCTTTCCATTATCCATATTAAACTTATATATTAAAAATGTTCATAATCGACTTTTTCAAACAGTCTAAATCAAAGGACATAGCAGCATAGTTATATGTAAGAAAATAACGCAGGTTGTAAACACTGTCTTTTACATATGTCTTTAAAAAAACACCATTCTAGTTTGCATAGTTAGAAGTAGTGCCCATTTGTGCCTAATTTTTTTCTGCTTTGCTTACGCATTTGTGTTCAATCCTGAAACGTGTAAACTGTTCTTGTACTACCCAATCTATTACTAAGAAAATTGAAATTTTCAAACATCAGTTATGTTTAAAGTGTGCAGTCTTAGTTGTTAAAAATGAAGCTGCTAACAGAAGAATTCAGTGTCAAGACTAGAGATAATATGCTAACATAAAACAAGTACTTGTCAAAGCTATTGAAAGAGCAGCTAAATATCTACTATCTTGGAATGATAAGGAAAAAGTGTAGAGTTTAAACCCCAGAGCACAGTTCTATAAATAGGTTATGTTTTCTGCATGCTGAGAGCATATGGCTTCATTCTGGTTTACAATAAAGAGACAATTCTACCCAAGCTGTGTCTGAGAGTCTTCTGCCAAGTAAACTGACTTCTAAATAAGGTGGTTAAATGTCAAAGAGAGTTGAAATGTATTGCCAAGTGTGATGTAAAACCTGAAAATTGGTCTTTCAGGCCCATTTATTGTAGTCCTAAGGTTATGATGCTGAAATTTATCAGAACTAAATAATGAAACCCAGTGAAGCTTTTCTATATGTTTTGTAAGAAAAAAAATCAAGATCATTTATTCAGCCTTGGATAGTCTGTATTCTTATATATTGGAAAACATCCTCAAATCCAAAGCAGGACCAACAGCACTTTTAGTGGCCCAGAAGGTTAAATAAATTTGTCTATGGAGTGAAAAGGTTGATTGCCCCTGATTTTAAAAAGTAGTTTCTTTTCAGAACAGAAAAATACTATTGTTACTTCAAAAGTATAATTGGGTTTATTTGCTGATTGAAGTTTTTGCTGACATGGATTTGATTTCTTATGGTTATAATATTCTATAGTTACTTAAGTGATCCTGAAAAACTAAATTATTGAATTCATATTAACATATATAGTAAGCAATATCTGCTCCGGTAAATTTGCCTTCATAAATCAATGAACTAATTCTGTTTAAAATCAGGTAGTCAGATCTTTTCCAGAATTTTGTGAATTCAGTTTTATTAGAGCTGTTCTGGAGATAGTAATATGTTGTTTGGTTATTAAAAATTGTCAGTATTAAACTACAAAATTAGAATTTCAATTCTTAATTATGATTGTCAATAAAATTTTAAGGAAGCATCTGATATTGCGTAAAATATTTTTGTTCTAAAGTTTGCTAAAAATGCTTGAAAACAAGCATAATACTTTTAAAAATGTTTTGGTTTTGGTTTTTCAGGGAAAGTATGCCATATAAAATTAATTATCAGCATCATTTTTTCCAATAAATTAAGGCTCTCTTCATAACAATTATTTAATGGTTCTCATTTTTGAATCAAAGTTCTTTTGATTAAATATAGTACCTGTGTACTTGAACATTTAAATCAATTCCTGCTACTCATGTTTAAAGGGAGAAATCTAAAAGTTGAAAGAAAAACTTGTTACTATGGTATACTTAAGCAAATAGAATTCCAGGATGATTAAGTATTAATCCCTTTATTGCAGAAAGAAGTACATTGAAAGCTGGAAAACATGAAACAACTGAAAAGGAAAAGAAAAAGCAATTTCAGTGTTCAGGAGACCCAAACTTTACTTAAAGAAATCCGAAAAAGAAGAGAGGTGCTTTTTTCCAAACAGCTAAATACAACTATTAACGAGATGAAGCGGAAGGCTTGGGAAGAAATTGCAGAATGTGTGAATGCTGTAGGTGAAGGAGAACAAAGGACTGGGACAGAAGTCAAAAGGCGATACCTTGACTGGAGGGCCCTTATGAAACGAAAGCGACTGAATACTAACATAAAGTTGGTTGGAGCTGGCTTTCATCTCCCATCATCTGATCTGGATGATTCTCTCAATGAAGATATTGATGAGAAAATAGGTTTTCCAAATGAATCTAATTTTGAATGGCAAAATATCACAGACTTCAGAGAAGCAGGGGGATCGTTAACCGAAGTGAAAGTAGAAGAAGAAGAGGAAGATCCACAAAGTTTTGAAGTAAGTAATTCTTCTATAGTACATCTCAAAAAACCTGGTATATAGGTATAGACTTTTTATATCCCCTATAAATACAATTTATCTGTGGTTTGTTTAATGTGAAAGCTATATTAATTATTCCGTTTGTGTACAAAGTTTGACAGAACATATAAAAAGATATTAATATTATACAGTTATGGACCTTTTATATTCACAAACTCATCAAATCCTTAGCCCATGAACATTTGACTCAAAGCAAAAAAAAACAAACATCTGGGGTGCATTTTTTAACTAAAAAAAACTAAGTCCAATTACTTATAATCTTATTTAACCATAAGCCTCACTAATTCTAATTTTTTAATGCAAACAGCCGCCCCTCCCAATCAGTCAATAGGAAAAGAATATGCTGTTGTCCGAACAAGAGCTATTTTGGTCTAGTGACAAGACACCAAGCTAAAAACCAGGAGACTGAGTTCTAGTCCCACTTTAGGCTTGAAAGCTGGCTGGGTGATTGGATCAATCATACATTCTCACCCAAGAGATCTGGCTTGGGTGACAAATCAATTGGTTAATTCCTGTCATAACCAATGGATCACTCAGTTCATATGGAAAAGAAGGGAAGCAGATCCTGTCCTGGTGTGAAAAGCAATTAGGAAAAAATGCTCTTATCCAAGAAAACAGTATGTGTCTTCCATATGTATTTTTAACTTTTTTAAATTGCTAGTTTTACATAATAGATAGTAAATACTCTTGCAAACAAAATTGAAAAATGGAGGATCTCCTCTGATTGTACACACATAACACATGTGAACTATCTTAAACTTTTAATAGTACTGGTACTAGTACTAAACAAAAAGTCTTTACTAAGCCAAATCTTTGTATCTATTATTATAAAATATTTGGAGGAAGAAGCCAAATTAACCTAAAATTATCTTAATCCACTCTGCCCCTAAATTCATTAGAGTATTTTTATCGTAAAATGCTGAGCTGGCAATTTTCTAGATATTTCTTCTGTGAATCAGTTAGCTGCTTTATTTCAATTTCAATTTCAAATCTTTATTGTCAGTGCACAACATATGTACAATGAGATTGGTTGAGCTTCCTCAGTGCACACACACACACACCCAACACCGTGAAGACAGAAAATCCCTAACCCATTTGCAGGAGAGCTATCATGATCTAGAATGTGGATTCATTGGATGTTCATGTTTTCTGAAAACTTAGCATGTTTTCTTTGTTTATTACAACTTTTTCCAGTGTGATTTTTTTTAACATTATTCTTTCAGTGTGTGATCCAGCTTTTCATAACATTAATGGGGAATTTGTTGGTGGTATAGATTGCCAATTTCACAGATATTTTGACTCTTTGTTGCCTTACAAGCTGCTTGAATTTTATCCCTTTGATTTGTTTGATCTCTATTAAAACTTTTGGTATTAATTGGGGAGTGATTAGGTCTTCAGTACATACCTGTTTCAGCATGTGTTTTATAATGTTCATTATGTGAGCAATCTGTATAAACAACTATGAAATCTCTTAAATAGAGGAATTCCTTATTACCCAGCAGCTATTACTTTTTTGTGTTCCAAGTGAATAATTGATATTTGCTGAATAAATGTGACTCTTTTTATAAAAAGTCCTTTCTGTTTTGAAAATGTCTTAAAGCTGCCTAACTGATGTAGACATATCTAGGATTGAACTGTCAGAATGTATTTACCTTATTTTTAATTGGACATTTCATTCATCAAATTTTATTGCTTGATGTAGTGTTCTGACGGGTTTTTTTTTTCCTGTGGCTTGGTCTCTGCTAAACAAATGACTACTGTGTGTGTACAGTGACATGGTGATGTTAACAAAGGAGGCAGAGCTGAACAGGTTATGTACTTTTGTTTACAAAGTGTTATGAGGTACAGGTAGTTAATACTTTTAGAGCAACATCTTTTGATGCCTACTTTCTGCTCTTGATTATATCAACACTTCTTCCATGTTAACATAGAAAATATTTGTGGCTGTAAGTGGGGAATTGTAGATCTACTTTATTTAGAGTGATAAAAATATCTATCTAGCACTAAAATTTCTAATTAATTTCCTTAGTTTCCTATTGAGGAAGAAGAGGAGATTTTGTCCTCAGTTTTGCCAGATTCCAAAAAGGAAAGTGACCTTCCTGATTTCACCCATATTGAAGAATTTGGAAATCTAAGTTCTGCTCAAGCTAGGCTGGCTTATGAAGATTCCCACTTGCTGATTAGCTTGGAGAAGCAGAAACTAGAGCTAGAAAAACAACGCCTGGATATTGAAGCGGAACGACTGCAAGTTGAGAAGGAGCGTCTGCAGATTGAAAAAGAGCGGTTGAGGCACATTGACCTGGAACATGAGAGGCTTCAGCTGGAAAAAGAGCGGTTACAAATTGAGCGGGAGAAACTGAGGCTTGAAGCTCAGCATGGTGAAAAACCTATCTTGGAGAATGATCCAAACCAGGCGGAAAAGCCTGTCCTACAACCTTTGGATTTAGAAACAGAAAAACTGAAAATTGAGAAAGAGCGTTTGCAGCTTGAGAAGGAAAGGCTGCAATTCCTGAAGTTTGAATCAGAAAAGCTGCAAATTGAAAAAGAACGTTTGCAAGTGGAGAAAGAACGGCTTCGAATTCAGAGAGAAGGGCATTTGCAGTGAACTTGCAGAGGAAATCATTACCAATGTTGTGTTTTGTTGTTTGTACTTTTAAAAAAAATCAGAATTGTATTTTGGTTTCATTAAAAGTGTTGGATAGTCTGGTCTTCAAAACATTTCACTACCAATGTTATCACTTTGCTACTGTGGTAATTACACTTTAAGAATACTTTTGTTTTGGCCTTAATTGAGCATTAATGTATTCATTTTTTTTAAAAAAAGCTGGGAATTGATGCTCAGTAAGTTGTTGTGCCTGTATAAATAGAATCTATTTGTGAAATTACATTTTGGTGAAACGGAAGAAGTGTGAATATCCTCTTGTATTCTCTGTTGTGAAACTTTACATCCACATTAAGAATCAAGGCTTGGCTGTATCTTGTCATTTTAAGAGGGTTATTCTAAATCCATAGGAACCTTTAATGTAAATTTGTGTCTGAGCTGAAGAAGTGAGTTTGAAATAGGCCTTGCACAAAAAAGTTAACCTCAAAAGTTATGCCTTTAATGTAAGGCATGTTCTTAAATGAAGTTGTTAAGGCCAGAGATTAAAGCTCTTAATGTTTTTGTTCTCAGTATATTTGTAAAGAAAAAAAAGTTTCAAGTGTATTATAAGAGATTTCACTTTTATGTCTAAGCTTGACCAAACCTACAGCTTCGGTATATAATTTTGGAAGACAGTTTGATATTCAAGTATTTGAGTTGGAATATATTTCTTGGGATTTACATAGATTATTTGGATTTATCAGTTTATTTACATCCCTATGTAATTATTTTTATTTTGCAAATAAAGTGTTATTTTATTATTGAAAGAAGTGTGATTTCATAATGTGAAATAAAATGGTCTGATGTAGATTAATTTATTCCCTGTAAACTATTTTTTAAAAAAATAAAGAATGAACACTCTGAATCTTATTCAATTGTACAAAAAATAATCTTCCTGATCTTAATAATATTGGCCTGTAAACAGTATATCATCTTGCAATGGAGAATGCACAGTATAGATAGCCTACTTCACTCTAAATTCAAAATTCAAGTGAGATTCATACGATCCTAGAATTTTGTTGGGTGAAAGATTGGAATTCCAAATATTTATGCTTGTGTGAGTTAAGAATCCAGCATAACATAGATTCATTAGACAAACATATCACATGGATTGATTTCACTGTATATAAATAGTGTGCACTCTGAGAACAATGAAATATAGATAATACTCCTTCCTGCAATGTTTTTACCGTTATTTTTTTCCCCCGATTCCTTTCAGGAGCTGAATTTCTCACAATGAAAACATGCAAAACCAAACTGTTCTGTATAAACAGATGCAACTTACTTTTGTTTCAGCAACAGAATACAGGCGAATGAGGGGATTAGGCATGAGAGAATTTGTAGCTTTGAAAGTACTATCAAATTGACCTTACCTAATTCACACAGTATTTATTACAAATACTAATACGTTGTTACAAAGAAAATAACTCTGTGTCTTACAATGCATATAAAAAATATGACTGCTAATTGGAACACCATTGAAAGCTGGACAAAGGCCCCTCTGGCAATAGCTTCTTCCTGCTTGTCAAACAGGAAACATGAGTCCAGAGGTTTCAGTCCTTGATGATATGGGGGTTAAAACTATAAAAAAAATGGTAATGGGGAGTGAGGATTCTGCAATTCATTTGACATATCAAGGTGTTTTTCAGAGGCTGTATCCAAGGAAGTTTTGGGGTTAATTTACATGATGTAAATATCTTCTATACTAATCATCTTTAAAAGTCTAAACTCCCTCAAACTATGCTTTGATCTCTAAAAGTGTAACACAATTCTTTATTCTTAAACGATCATTCAAACTATATTGAACTTTGTTATTTTCAGCCTCTGATGTAATAAGGTGGTTTGATAATTTTAACCCGTATCCTTGGGACACTTGAAGCTTTTACGACAAATTCCATAATGGTAGTCTTGGGTGTACAACCACAATTGAGTACAAAATTTCTGTTGCTAAGGGGGACAGTTGTTCAGCAAGTTTTGCCCCATTTTACGACTTTTTTTTTTTCAACAGATGTTAAGTAAATCACTACACTTAGCAACATGGTTGTAAAGTGAATCTGGCTTCATTGACTTTGCTTGTCAGGTGGTTTCAAAAGATGATCGTGTGACCATGGGACATGGCAATCTGCATAAATATGAGCCAGTGAGGTCCAGTGTCCAAATTTCAATCATGTGACCATGGGGATATTGCAACGGTTGTAAGTTTGAAAATTGGTCATAGGTGACTTCCGGCGGTGACGTCAGCGTGTAAGGAACGAGGGGAACGAGGCTCTGTCCCCGAAGTTCCAAATTTCTTGATTGGAAGCCGTTCTTGGCACTATCGACCACGGAGAGGTCGATAGAAAAAGGAGGATTCCCTAGGACCTCGGAGTGACAGCAATCACCCTGAAGGTTCAGAGAAAAACCCCCTAATTCCAACCGGGAAAAAACCAGCCATTTTGGCTGGCCGGAGTGCTGTCAACCGATAAGTGTGGAAGCGAAGATTGCAGAGAGAAACATCGGTAATTGGACTAAATCATCTGAAAAGTGAAGGTATATTTATAAAGATTCAAGGACTTAAAACATCGGCGAAAAGAGGACTCCTAAAAGCGGCGGTAAGATCGCCAGGCAAGCGGCGAGAGACAGTGATCGGAGCGGAAACTAACACTCACAGTGACAGCGCAAATTTGACTGGCGAAAGGACGAGAGACGGAAGGAAAGGATTACAAGCAAGCGGTGGATTATAATTTTATAAATAACGTGTTTTGATTTCACAAAGAATAAAGACTATTTGAGAAAGTGACAGTAGAAAGTGAAGCTTAAGAATTAAGACTCTTTAAGACTGTTGCGGGCAAAAGGGAATCAGCGGAACGGAGTGAAAGGTGGACTGAGGATCGAGGACTTGGAGAAGGAGTTTTTACTTTGTATCCAGCAGTAATAATAAATCCAAACCACAGATAAAGGGCTTGTAATAAGACATTGGACACATTGATGCTGTCGGCGGAGGAGATATAACTTGCTACAAATCGGAACAATTATTTTACTGTTTCAACGGAAGTTGCTGCAACAGAACTGTGAAAGCTGGGCGAACTGAAGGCGAACTGAATAACGAAGGAAGAAGGAGAAAGAAGTAATTCCAATTGGTCTGAAAGTGATTTAATGGAGAACTTTTAACATCCAATTATCAAATATAGTTATTCTATTTATATTACAAAATCCAACTACAGTTTAATTAACTTTGCCTAAATAATATTAATACCAATTTTGAAGTTATTATAATATATATCAAATTGACTTAAGATTAATTTTTTTTTTCTTTTCATTTCCTTTTTCCCTTCTTTATTGTCCTATGGTTTCCCACCCCAATGAAATAAGATAATAGATTCTATAGTAATATATTGATTAAGGGAATTATATTGTGTATTGATTGGAAATTTAGATATTAACATAGACATTGTAAAGAGACTGTTATAGATAATATTAAGGAATAATAAGGAACAATAATTGTGAGAATTAATATAAGTACTACATATTGGTAACTGTGATATAACCTAAATACATATAGAACTTAATAGAATATCTTATATGACTCATAGGGAATCTTAGACTATATAAGTTTATTACATAAAGGTATATATGAATTGTTTAGGCTTAAAGTGAATTTAAGTATTGGAATAAGTATGATCATTAATGTGATTTAGTATTAATATAACTTGGCATTTAAATATTGATTATATTACACTGTTTAGGAATAAGAACAGGAAAATGAATTGCTAAAACACTGTATTTCCCCTTAACCCCACTGAATTAATCAATTTGACTTCTATATAACGATATTTCAAATACCCCCAATCAGTGTATGAAAATTTGGGAAAAAATAATACAAAAAACGATGGCAACATCCTCAATAACAATAACTAAACAAGGGAAAAAACCAGCACCCATACAATCTTCACCTGCACAACAAAAAACCATAGACACGATGCTAACTACAGACAAAGATAAAGCTGCTACCACACACAACATACAGAATATACAGTCTATATTGGCTATGATACAGGAGGGGATGAACAAGACCCAAGAAACAATAGCGAATAACCACGAAGAAACAAAAAAGAATCATGAGGAATTGAAATTAGAAGTAGGACAAATAAACGACAATATAAAAAAAATGGACGATAAGATTGAAAGAATACAACAAAACATAGTTAAAAACGAAGAGCGAATTCAAAATATGGAAGCCAAAATGGTCCAATCGGAGAAGAAGATGGATAACATCGAACAAAATCAAATGGAGGTAAACAGAGAACTTGAAGAATCAATTACCCATTTAGAATTAGAAAAGGCATCTTTCTTTTTACGGTTTCAAAATATTGCAGAAATAAAGGGAGAAGATCTAAGAGACCTGATGACAGATATATTAGTTGAGGCTACCCAAAAGGAAAAAAACGATATTAGTAGGGAAATTGACGAAATTTATAGAGTGCATACGAATTACGCTCGTAGGCACAAACTACCTGGAGAAATACATGTCAGATTCGCACGTAAAACCGTAAGAGAAGAGATTTATACACTAATGAGAGAGGAGAAACCATGCTACAAAGGGAAAGAAATAATAACTTTAAAACAAGTTCCAAGAAGAATAAGAGAATATAGGAAAAACTACAATTTCTTGACAACCCTACTGAACCAACATAAAATAATGTTTCGCTGGCTGGTGCCAGAGGGAATTCTAATATCCTGGGATGACAAAAAATATAAAATAGACACGATAGAGAAGGCACAGGAATTTTTTGACACGCATTTCATAATAGAAGAAGAACAGGAATCTAGGTGTGACCCAGATAATACAAACCAGGAACACCTTACGGGGGAAACAAAAAAAGGAAAGGAAGAAAAGGAGTCTAGGGAAAAGGAGAGGAGTGAAAGAGAAGGGGCTAGGGGGAAAACACAAATGGTAACAAGAAACACAAGTAAACTCAAACTAACAAAGAAAAACTAAAGGAAATGGGACAAGAGTTGAAATTAATTTCAATTAACATAAATGGCCTTAATCTACCAACCAAAAGAACACACACCTTTAAAAAACTTCAAAAATTAGATACAGACATTATCATTTTACAAGAAGTACATATTAAAAAACAACACAAACAATTATTAGAAAACAGAAAACTTGGATCACTATTTACCTCACTATCAGAACAAAAAAAAAGAGGCATTGCAATATACACTAAAAATCATATTCAGGCAAAACAAATTTACACAGACGGAGATGGTAGGATATTAATGGTCAATATTAAGACGGAGGCCCGAAACATGCTACTAGTATCAATATATGCCCCAAACGGGAACCAAAAAGAATACTTCAAAAAGCTACACGACAAAATTAAAGAATTAGACTACGAACACATATGTATAATAGGGGACTATAATGCAATTGTAGATATGGACTATGACTACCAAAGTAACAAAAAAAACAAATCTAAGAAAAAGACACTACCGGACACTTTCAAGGACATGACTCAAGAGCTACAACTGAAAGATGCCTAGAGAGAATTGAATAAAACCAAAAAACAGTATACATATTATTCAAATCCCCATCAGTCTTGGTCCAGACTAGACATGGCCTGGATGACGGCAGAACTAAGAGAAAGCATAAAAGAAATTGAAATCACACCGAACATATGGGCAGACCACAGTCCTATAACAATAGTCTGGAAAGGCCGGTCAAAAAGAGGAAGATGGATGATGGATAGAGAAATTACCAAAGATAAAGAATACATAGAGATGATAAAGAAAGAGATGGAGATATTTTTTCAAATAAACAAAAAGGAACATACATCATTACAAATTCTATGGGATGCCACAAAAGCATATATAAGAGGATTAACAAT